CAAGTTTTCCGATACTTTGTAGAATGATCCAAAAGAAAAAAAAAGAAAAAGTTGCGCAATAATTGCAAAATTTAACATATCTCAATACAGCTGCGCCCGACAGGTACTCCACTCTACAGTCAGAATCTAGGATATGTTTATTTTTAGCGGGCAGGACAAATTCTACCAGGTCCGCTAGTTTAACACAGAAAGAGAATTAAAGCGTTCCAAAATGCAGACAGAAATCACCCGCTAACAACCACTTCTAATTATTTACCGGCAAACTACCGGTATATACGTACCGGCCAGCGCGGCGCAGGCAAAAACAAAAATTCCCCAAGCGCATCGCAGCGGCCAACCGCGCGCACACCGCACGCATACATAATCACGACTACGATTTCACCCAATTTCAGCCAGTACTTAATTCGTTTTGGGAGTTAGTTTCGTAGAAATGTAATTAGGGAAACTTTTCAGATTACCGCGTGTTTTTCCAAAGCGAGGCCAGTGTACGCTGAGCTGCCGTATAACTTATACGTGACTATGAAGCGAGCTGACGTGAGAGTTGACCTACAGAAGCGCAGCGCAAACAGGGAGAGCTGCCGCAAAGATACTAAGAACTTAACAATTTTATTTAAACCCCGATTCCTGTATGATAGGTTCAAAAATTTCATGGCAAACGTGAAACGATATGCAACCTGCGCACAACGCTATGAAGCAGTCATGAGAGCCGGCGCGTGACTACTCCGCTCTGTGGCTCTAGGTCGCGCTCAAAGTCGCCGTGGCCATGGCTCTTGGCCGCGTGTGCGTTGCGTCAAATTAATCCGAGCGCAGCCTTTATTGGGATCATCATCATCATCACTCCTAGTGCACAATCTATCGTAATGAAAATAATATGGAGAATGAAATACGACCCACCACACGGTCCCAATCAATGCACGTTGGTAGTATTAGGCTCAATTCTACTTTGACATACCTAATTACAAAATTAAATCATTATATATTTAGAAATTTAATTTAGTTAAAACCAAAGTAAAACTAAAAAAAAGTTATTGTATTTAATTAACTAAAACCGGAAGTGTCAAATGGCGCAAATGAAGTATTGCCGACGGAAACATGGCAGTGCGGTAAGATTGGAGAAGGGGCATTCTGCTCATGCCTATCGTAGTGTTCGGATGTGTCGACTATAGTTTTTATAGGATCTGCTTATTTGAAAGGTGCTGATACACTCGAGGCCAAGGGCTCAACGTGCTTTTAGTAGCACTGAATAGTAAATATTTGGTCAACCACCCCATGTGACAAAGTACCGGCCGATACGAAAGTACTTAGCTTTTACGATCGCTCACCACTGCGCTATCCAGCTCCTTTCATTATATCTACATAATCCAATTACAATAATAAACTCCAGAAGAGAACTAAAATAACAGACATCGCTCGAAGGATTGCTCAGATCACGTGACAGGGGCGGAACACGTAACGAGGAGAACCGATGGATGTTGGGGCGTAAAGGTTCTCGAATGGCACCCACGCACCGGACGACGCTCAGTGAGCAGACCCGCCACCAGGTGGTGGTGATCTGGTGAAAGTCGTGGGAGGCCGATGGATGCGAGTGAAGCAAGACCAATGGGTATGGGAATCCTTGGGGGAGGCTATTCTCAGCAGTGGGCGTTGTACAACTGAGATGATGATGATATTGAGACTGTACTTAATCATAAGAGCAAAAGTTAACTAAAACAAGGTTAACTACAACAACAACAACAACAAACCTTCAACACAAAATTTTACTTAGTAGATATACCAGCAGATACCTTGTTTCAGTTTACTTTGGCTCTTGTGACTGCGCAGAGCCTCATCATCATCTCATCGAGTTATTTTTAAAATGTATATAGATAAAAATTTATAATATCATCATCGTCAGCCTATTAATGTCCCTGCTGGGGCACAGGTTTTCCCTAGGAATGGAATAGGGAGAATACGCCGTGAACCACCACACGTGTCCAGTGCAGATCAGTGGGTGCAAACGACTGCAGTTGCAGCCGAGACCACGTTTAACGTGGCTTCCGAAGCACGTAAGAGCTCGAGATAATGAGTTTTTGGTCACGTGATTATAGTACAATAGGTCAATGGGTTTAGATTATTAAAAGGTTTTTGAAAATCACAGTTTCATTTTAGAACGAACTACATCACAATACCAACATAAAACTTCCTGTGTTCCCCGTGGTTCTTGTAACAGCGGTCAGTTGGGCAATCTTCCGCTTATTTAGTTTTAGTTGGGCGCACATTTCGTTACCACACGCCCCCGACAGTGAGATATTCGTTAATTTACTTGTTGTAAATTTGTTCTCGCTTCCACGGGACCCATTCCCTCGTTATGCGATAGAAGCGAGTTAACCTCTGTTTATGAAACTTTGTTTTGATGATATTAATTCACTTTAAATTTCGCATGATACACAATTCAATAACATGCTAAATGCCACTGGAGTTTTAATAAAATTTTAGGGGTGTCACTTAAATACACACATTATGTGTACACCCAATAAGTATCATTGTTTTCTTAATATAAGTAATTATTATTTATATCCTAAGGATAGCGGCAGTGGTGTCGATTCTGGGATGATTCTCTAAACCTAAACATCATGTCAGAACCGACACCATTATCAACTTTAATTAATCATGCATTTTTATTTACTCGATTTATCGATTAACTAGATTTTCTGTATTCTTAATTAATAAAAAAGTACATCATACAAGTTTAAAAAATATTTCACTGTTTTTTATTTTTTAGGTTTTGTACCCACTACGAATGGAACAGGAATAATTCATTCAGATACACAATATTTATGTATAAAGAACCTCCACACAGAGATGAGAGATGTTTAGTGCATTTTGTATTTACCACACGTTTCGGAAGAATCGCTCAGGTTTTTTTTATATTCTTACCTACATTTCATTTAAATGTTCTGCATATGAAAAAGAAAACGCTACATTTTCTTAACCAGGGACGATTCTAGTTTCAACAAATGTTGAAACTAGGATCGAGGGAAGGTCTAACAGTTTGCGGACTCAGGGATGGAGAGGGGTAGCGGGAAGTTTTTTTTATCTAGTAGTACTGTTCGTCTCAATACTTCTATAAATACCCAGTTTCAGTCCAATGGGGTCATTAACCTTTGAGATATCACTGAATTAACAAGCCAATCGGGAAGAGACCATCAACTATAGAGAAAATCGAGTTTCGTGCGATGATTCTCCTCCCTTCCAATCCAAGAGCTACTAGTTTTAATACTTGGTGAGTGCACAGATGTAGCCGGAACCAACGGCTTGACGTGCCTTCTCGGATGTTTTATCTCAATTTTTGTGTTTTGATACATGTATTCTCTGTTCTTTACAGTCCAACTAAGTACTCTTATTAAACCAATGAAAATGTTAGCAAGTCATTACTGTTTATGTGCAGCTATAACGGCAACATTGCAGCTACTTGCATAATTCCTATCGCTCCTTATATATATTAGGTACCTTGGGTTACAACCCTCGGCCCACACATGTAAATATATCTCGAAGAGTCGCTGCTTTTGAAAAACAAAAGGAAATTCTGTGAAATGTACCCTATAAATTTGAGCTACTCACGGGAGTTGTGCCGTTTGCATGCGGCCCTAGGGTGGCCACATATCTTATTAATTTGGATTTATTTTGTTTTTCCCTATTTTCTAGTAGCAAATGTCATGTTGAAAAGAGAACAAAGAAATATGTAGGTGGTGTTAGTTGACATTTTTCTCTTACACATTTTAAAGGATCAAACAAATCTAAGAGAGACGGGGCATAGCGCTCATCTGGGAGAGTAACCTCTACCTTACAGAATATCACAGAAAAATAAAACTACCCTTTGGAGGTGTTGTGTTTCTGTTAGCGAGTACACATGGGCACCACGGAGCAGAGGATGAGATCACGATAAGAAATGTTGCATGTGATATTTTGGTGTCGTGCAACGTGTATAGGCTATGGTAGCTGGAGAATTAAATTTTTGCGGGTGACATTTTTTAAGTGTATAATAATTAATTCGGCATATAACTTTTATCCGAGAATCGCAAAAACCTAACGTCCCAGGGTACCACAAAGCATGGCCACCCGCTAGGCAGGCGGGGTAGCCCAAGGCGAGTCGCGGGCATTGTGCAGGCACCGTTCCGCCATGATTTCCCGCGTGGAGAACTGCTCTACAATAACATTCTCGAAATTTATCTCGCATACCTACGTACCCACTACACATTTACTGCCATGAACAGACCAATTTGATTAGGAGCTCTATAAAAATGGATCAAGGAGTTCAAGAAATTGCACAGCAGTAGGCGATTTTCATCTGCGTTTGTAAATATTAAGCAATACAAGCATTAAGATTTTTGTTATTTGAGGAGCTCGATGGCGTTGTAACTTGCGCATTCAGTTCGTGATCATAAAAGCAACTTTTACAATGGCCTAAAATGCAACGGGTTAAAAAAACTCAAACTTCTTTGTGTTTCAGCGTTTGTCCTGACTGTATCTGCAGTTGTTAGCTAGCACCCACCAAACCGAACCAGCCATCGTGTGCGTAGGATATTAAATTGCCAGCTTCACATCACTGAATACGGCATTTTTAGTATAATTTGTAACTTTTTTGTTATTTAGAATGAGGGAGTTTGTTTTACGTCACCAGTTGGACGTGACGTGAGGTGTTTTGTATGAAGTTTTTGGCTCAAACTAGATTGACCAGATCCATAGACTATGAGAGCTATCATTATTGAAGCTATTCTTTAAAGTCCGCCTCTGCGAATTTAATTCTCGTCACGCCCAAAAGTTTATCACTTCATAAATCCAAAAACAAATAGTTAATTATAGTGCCAAATGCACAAATTTATAAATTCTAGCGTACCTTCGTTTTTTGTCACTGCAAGGAATTTAATGATAATTAAAATCGTGACGGAAATTATACGATTATGGATTTATTTTATTTCTAAAAGAGGTCATATTAATGAATCACATTTTTAATATTCAATATTTTAATACAAATAAATAAACTACAGTCACTTACAAATCATCAGGAGAAATACAAAATAATTAAGTATAAAAAGAAAACTAAATACACGTTTATCTCTCGTCCTCTTTGGCGAACTTTCGTAAAAAATATTTTGAACCAATCACTTGAATCAATAACAAATCATTATGAGCTTAAAATTAATGAAGGCAATAAAAATTGTACTTAACTGTTTAAATTATTGTTATATTTACAATTGTACCAAAAATATTTATGGCACCATGAAAAGAATAATTAACATATTATGACAGGGATAAGTATTATCAGAGTAGTTTAAAATCGTTTAAAAAACATTCATAAGCAGGGAAAATTGTTTTTCAATAAAGGGAAATTAAACATGACAATAATATCTACGTTACCATTGCACGCCCGCTTTTTTTCAAAACATGTTGATGTAAAGGAAACAATACCCTATTGATATATTACTAAGCAAAGCTTAAATGCAAACCTGTACCAAGAGAAGATACCTACCGTTATTTCATTTCTTACAAATAAAAAAATTATGGCACCATTTTAACAAACATTCACAATTACTATCGCTAAGTGCTAGATATTTAACATAAAATTAAGAAAATTATTTAAATACAATTTAATTTCGGCGTGAATCTCGGAGAATAGTATATGAAAGTTTATAGTTCCTTTATCTCCATATAATAATTACATTAAAATTATTATATTTATAACAAACATTAATAGGCACAACTCATATTTAGATTTCAAAGCCAGAATTTAAATACGGTTAATAAAATCTTTGTTTATTAATTATGTGTTATTTTAGTTCTTGATATAACCATACATTTCAAATTTTTGGGAATAACTTAAGGTGAAACATTTTTATAATATGCAATGCGAAAGATTTAACTTAGAATTAAAGAAAATTCAAAACTTTGCCAATGGTCCACCATAATGGTATTTTTAGAATTAGGCAAAAAAAAAACCTCCTCAAAAAGAACAAATGTTACTAATAAAAAATAATAATATTGTAGTTTATCGCAGTATAAATTATTTTACTATAGTCACAAAAATTACAATAACATAAAGATTGTCTTATTTATTATCTCATACAAAAAAATGAGAAATTTATTCAAGAAAAATAGAAAGAACATTTAAATTTTCGAAGAAAAAGTTTAAGCACATTTTCACGCTGGCTTGTCACACAAAAACTCTTACTGCAGTATTCAGGGACTTCGATTTACTTTTTTAGTTTCATTAAATATGGTTGTTATTATGTTATACTTTGTCATAACAATAAGATTATATACCATGAGAACACGTTGGGTTGCACTACAGACTGAGTTAGACACGGTTTAGGCAAACGTTGAATGTCATTTCGTCATTTCGTGTTGAATACCCGACTACCTTCATTGTGGTATGGCTAATTAAATTTAATTGTAATCCCTTAGTACGATCGTTATCAATTTCAAAAAAGGTTACGCAGTTACGCAGACTGGATATGATTATTAAACACCTACCACCGCATTCAAAGACGTTAATAAAATTTAATGTTTCATCAAGTCACGTTTTGTCATTATTATCGCAAAGTTACGGCATCAACCATACTGAAACTTAAAAGTTAATCGACGTCTGAGTGCGACCGTTACTAATGAAACGAATGTGCGACGCGCGTGTATGATACAGTAGGTGTATTATGTGTTTCCATGGACATAGAAAATGGACTGAGCAATATGAAATAACAACTCTCTAGAAAGGGAGAAAGCGATATTATGCGACCACTGGCAGAACAGTGTTTGGAGTCGAAGTGATTCTGGCATGATTCTCTAAATTTAAAATCAGTCTCTCCCTTTTATTCTGTATAGAGAATGACAGGATACAGTGTTGTCAAATTTAATTATAGTTTTAGAAAATCATGCCAGATACGACACCATCATCCCTATTGCGATAGCTTAATTCATCTTAATTCATTCGTTCATTGGAATAGGAAGGTAAGGATGGCCACTTGTCTAAGCATCCAGTAGTTCGCGTTCGATTTTTTCTCTCAAATGGCTAAGGAATACTCAGTCCATTCTATGTATATGCGAGTTTCGTACTAGTGCCGCGGTCTACCTGAACGCGTTGGACCGAGGCGGGCCTTCCGTTGGCTCTAGCACGATGCGCTTGAAGCAACCATCGGGCAACTGTCGTAATATGTCCTGTACGTTGTCCACTTCCAAGCGGAGTTCCTCGTGCTCATCTTGGTACTGTTTCATCCACCTAAATCAAGGTTATCATAAGTATGAGAAAATATATATAAGAGATTATAATTGACAAACATAAGATAGGGAAGGATAAGGGCTAGTGCCCACGAGACGGTTTTTCGCCGGAGTCTAACCGGGTCTACGTCCAGTTGTCAGTCATGTTTTGGACACTATGAAGCCAATTACTCGGCACCGACGCTAGCCACGGTTTATGAAACCGTTACGAGCTCTCAGCGCTACGTTTATACGTACTGAGTACTCGCCCGAGAGCACTGTCTCGCTCGTTTGTTCGATATTTTGTAAGTTTAATTTTAAAGAATTTGTTTTGTAGTATTCTTTAGGTGCTGTTATTGATGCATTGATCACTAATTAGCTAACCACAATGTTGAGCATTGCTAAAATACCTCTGATGATTGTTCTTCGCTTCAGAAAGCGACTTGATCTTTCCATCCAAGTCTACAGCACGAAGAGCCGTCTCTGCTGCATCCAAACTTTGCTCTGAAAACATCCAAACAAGATTAGTTTTATAGGTTTATTAGTTTAGAGTAATAATTGCTCAATTTTAATAAACTGCTTACGTAGAACATCTAGTGCAGCATCGTCAAGCGTCGGCAGATTCTGTAGTTCATCCATAATGACCTTTAGATCTTCCAGCCCTTTAGAAACCTGCTTCTCAGCTTCTCTAGCATCGGTGTTCGCTTGACCAACCTAAAAATTAACTCTATCATTGCTCACACTGAATATAGAATCACAAATTAGCAAGCTGATATTTAAAAAGTCGCTTATTTGTTAATTGGTATATGAACTCAAAACCATTGCAATACAGGGTGATTTACCTTCATCTTCGCATCCCGCGTGAGTTGCATATTCTCAGCTGCTTCCTTTTCCAATTCCTCAATCTGTTTCGCTGTTCCTTGCACACGAGCTGTAATAAATACAAAGACTACAATCTGGACCTGATTAAAGATTCTACTGTTTCGATTGTTTGGGCACTTATAGACATTTATAGTCAATCTATTTTAAAGTACAAACATCGGGAAAGGTCATTTACGTAAAATCTACAAATATGAAAGGATGATTGGTTCAATCATCAAACACTAAGAACTCGAAGAGCAAGCATGCAAAGACTCATAAAGAGTAAGAGAGATGTGTCACTAAAAATAGACATGACATGAAGATTTACTAGATAATTATGTATACTTGTGGTAAATGTATTTTTTTATCATAAGTATGTTAAATGTTGATGTTTGATTTGGCGACTTACTTGAGAGTTTATCGGTTTCATCTCTTAGTCTTACTGCATCTGCTCTGGCGGTAGAGGCTTTCTTTCTGATCTCGTGGGCGGCCTGAAAAAATATGAATTAAATAGGATTTTAGAGGAGCTCGATGGCGCAAGTGGTTAGCGCGTTGGGTTGCGATCGGTGAATTTAAGCAACTTTCGCAGTCGTCGGTCATTGGATGGGTGACCAAAAATCTTCTATCTCGAGTTCCTCCGTGCTTCGGAAGGCACGTTAAGCCGTTGGTCCCAGCTGCATCTGCAGTCGTTAGCACCCGCCAATCCGCATAGGGCCCGCGTGGTGGGTCATGGCCCTATCTCCCTATTCCATCCATAGGGAAGGTCTGTGCCCCAGCAGTGGGGACATTAATAGGCTGATGATGATGATGATGATGAGGATTTAAGAAGATTTTTAATTAAAAACAGTTTATAAAAAACATTGTAGAAAACGTATTATCAATCTATGATGCATTATTCTAATGCAACGTTCTAAGGATGTGCGAATTAAACTTTTATTCCCATAAAAGCTCATATTCATCATACAATAATTTGCCCAACTATGGGGCAAATGTTTGAGTGTTCTGAGTAGACGACACCTTGAAACCCGGTGATCGCAATCTGCGGTTACCTCCGATGCTTTCTCGGCGTATTCCTTCTGAGCTTGCTGTGCCAAGTCGAGGGCGTTCTTGGCCTGGTCGCTGGCGCTGGTGAGTTCCTCGGCGATGCTGTTGATGCTGTTCTCGGCAGCAGCCACCTTGTCCTGGATGGAAGGCACCTCTTGCGCTGCCTGGCTTGCCTGCTTACGGGACTCGGTTACTTGGTCGCTGAATTCTGTTAAATATTTGCGTGAATGTGTATGTTAGTGTATGATAAATGCCGGGGTTCGGCGACTTACCGCAAACGCACCTTACACCGCCACGGGTACCGAGGACTAGGCTTTAGAACGGGGCTCGTCAACGCTCTTGGGAAACTATTGCCGGCAATATATCGCACATAGGAGTCCACAGGTCAGAAGGTTCACGATATCTTCCAGAGAAAAATGGGTACTCTCACTTGATGTAACGGAAATTCTTTTAGAGCTGTTGATAGCTGCTTACACTTCGGGGACTCGAAGTGAACTACTCGCTCATTGGTGCTGGCGTCGGCCGTAAAGTCGTACCAACACACAAGGCACAGTGGTAGGCTCAGAACGAAAATACGGTTTGTCACCTACCCCATAAATAAATTAAAAAAAGAAATACAATCTTCCAATATGTGATGTCTTATTAAAAATCTGTTACGCTACGGAACATGCCGCTCACCTTAAAGGGACGTAAGTGCCTTTAACTTGAATCAAAGAATGAAAATAAAAATAAAAAATAAAATATTAGAGAGAAAGCAAAAAGAAACTTAAGTACTAAGATTTGATTCGTAACGATATAAACTAATCAATAGGAAGCGGGCACACCTTAACAACGGGCCGCTTGAAAAGAGTATTACCCCTACGCAGTGTTATGACGCGAGTTTTGTTGTCAGATCCGGGATGAAGAGCATGAACTCGCGCAATTTTCCATTGCAGAGGCGGGAGATTGTCGTCGCTCACTACTGCAACAGTACCCTCACGGATAGTTGAACCTCGATCAGAAAACCATTTTTGACTTTGCTGCATTTCGTGTAAATATTCTTTACTCCATCTTTTCCAAAAATGCTGAACAGATTGTTGAACCCAGCGCCACCGTGTAAGACGATTAGGATTCTCATCCACCAATGAAACATCAGGCAAAGAAGTCAAAGGTTCTCCTATCAAAAAGTGTGATGGAGTTAGGGGAAGCGGTTCCGGTGAAGCACTCGTGGCGCAAAGCGGACGCGAATTTAACACGGCCTCTATTTGGCAGAGAAGAGTGTGCATCTCATCATAAGTTTGAGTGCGAGTGCCAACTACACCGGTACAAATGATGTTTAAAGCTTTTGACACCCGCCTCAAATAATCCACCGAAATGACTGGCATACGGAGGCTGAAAGTGCCACGTTATGCCTTGTTGGAGTGTAAGCTCGTTTAATTGATTCTGGACAGTGTTACTGCGCAAGAATGCATACAAATCTTTTAAATAATTATTGCACCGAATAAAATTCTTTCCGCAATCCGAATAGATGTCGGTACATAAGCCTCGGCGCGAGGTAAAACGTCGGAGAGCGGCCAGAAAAGCTTCCGTGGAAAGCTCAGACACAAGTTCCAAATGTAAGGCCTTAACGCTCATACAGACAAAAACCGCGACGTAGCACTTAATAACCTTTGCATTACGCACCTTATTTGCACGCACATAAAATGGACCGGCATAATCGACAGCGGTCTTAATGAATGGTCGCGCGGGACGCAAACGAGACACCGGCAGTGGTGCCATGCGCGGCTGGTTACGAGCGGGGCGCGCGCGGAAACAAGTAACGCAGCGATGAATGCGTTGACGCACTATATCTCGACTAGATAGGATCCAATATCGCTGCAATAACAAGCATTGGACGGTTTGTGGGCCGGCGTGCAAATATTTTCATCGCATCGTCAATAATATGATTAGTCAAATTATGTTTTTTCGGCAAAATTAACTGATGTTTAGAATCGTACGGTAAAAGAGACTTATGTAATCTACCACCCACGCGTAATAATTTATTATCATCTAAAAATGGTGTTAAGCGTCGTAATTTATTAGAGGGATATTTTCCTAGTGAAATGCTTTTAATATCATCACTAAATACACACTGTTGAACTAAATAAATAAGTCTAGTCAAATCAAAATTGTACTCTGGCACTGTTACATAGGCCGAATAAGATTTTTTGTATTTTTTACATTTAAAATAAAATCTAAATATTAAAGCCGTTACTCGAACGCACTTACCTAAGCAACTAAATCGAGAAATAATATCCACGTCCTGTATAGGAGCTGTTGAAGTTAAATTTGAACTAACCGAAACCTTGATACGCTTTTCCTCCTCTGTAGTATAATCTACTGTTGACGAGGCCAGTGAGTTCGATCTTGACGGAGCCAAGATGGACCATGGAACCATAAGTTATGTTCCACAAACGCACCAGGCAGCATGCCACGAGATGTAGCATCTGCAGGGTTGTCAGCCGACGGAACATGATGCCAACGTTCAGCGGGAATGCGTGAAAGTATATCGCTAGTGCGATGCGAAACAAACGTTTTCCATTCGTGTGGTGGTGATCGCAGCCACGCTAACACGATGGCCGCATCGGACCAAGCATAAACCTGATCAATAATAAGGTAATCCGAGAATATAACTTATGTTTGTTGTAAAAGCTTGGACAATAATAGGGCTGCCATCAGCTCGAGACGCGGGATCGTTAAAAGTATACAAAGTGGAGATACGCGAGTTTACGCCATAATAAGTGAAGTGCGAATGTGCCCGTCCTTGCCCGTAAGGCGTACATAGACACAGGCTGCATAAACCTTCTCCGAAGCGTCAGCAAATCCGTGAATTTGAATTGATTTATGTTCCGGAAATATGTGACGGGGAAACGATACTTGGGAAATAAACGGTAGTTGATTAATAAATGCATGCCATGAATTTACAATGTCTATGGGTGGCGCTTCATCCCAATCTATGTTAGCTATCCACAAAAGTTGGATCAAATGTTTGGCATATAATGTAACTGGGGATAAAAGACCTAAAGGGTCGTATAGTTTTGCTATCTCGGAAAGAATAACTCGCTTCGTACATAAATTGGATGTTGTTACATGTACATTGAAGTTAAAAGAATCCGATCCAGGGTTCCACTGGAGACCGAGTACCTTCACCTGCTTATCCTTCTCCATTTCGGCAAAAGCGATTACATCGGGCCGCTCACCATGAGATTCTGGCGGTAAAACAGTTGAGAGTAGTGCTGGAGAATTGCTATGCCACTTGCGTAATTCGAAACCAGCCGTCTTACAAATATCAATAAGTTCCTGCTGCAGCGCTAAAGCATTAGGGATCGTAGACGCCCCCGATGTCACGTCCTCAACGAAAACATCGTTTAACAAAACAGGAGAAGCAAGTTTGAAACGCTCGGCCTCATCACAAGCCAATTGTTGGACAGTTCTCAAAGCAGCGAGATATGGGGAACCATTCACATCGAAGGTGACAGTGCGAAGACGATAGTCACGAACGGGTTGATCGGGTGAGTGTCGCCATAAAATGCGCTGAAAATCCCTGTCTTCCTCTCGGACCAGGATGTTTCGTCGCGTGAACTCGGAATTTTAAAATAACATTACCTATGTCCAAGTGAAGCTTGGGACCAGTCAGTAAAGCGTCATTGAGTGAGTAACCACTAGTAGTCTTACATCCGGTGTCGAAAACTACGCGAGTGCGAGTCGTCTTGCTAGACTCCTTGACTACGCAGTGGTGTGGAATATAATAATGTTTCCCTAAAGGCGCCACGCCCTCAACGGGTTCCATATGATTCATGTCAATGTATTCCTGTAGACATGCGTGATAGTCAGCTTTGAGCTTCGGACTACGTTCGAGTCGATATTCGAGTTTACGAAACCGCGCTAATGCAATTTGTCGAGATTCTCCAAGAGAGGGATCCTCCAATTTAAAGGGCAAGGCAACCACATATCGCCCAGTCTCATCGCGAGAATGCGTCTTTTGAAAAAAGGATTCGCATAATTCCTCATCAGGAGTGTAACTCCGTTTTTCAGGAAGCGACTCTAACTCCCAAAATCTCTGAAGATTGTGATTGTCGAATGAACTAAAACATACTTTAATATTCGACGGAAAGTGTTCAACATCGAGCTTACCTAACAATAAATAACCGAAAATGCTATTTACCGCCATCGGAGTTCCAGGCGCGCCCGTAATAACGTCGCCTAAAAGAACACAGGATAGTATATCCGCACCTAATAACATTTCAACTGGCTGCGGGATGGAAAGTAGGATCCGCTAAGTTGAGTGTTTGTATATGAGACCAGCCTGTATACGGTAACTGTACACTTGGCATTTGCGATTTTTTTTTTTTATGCATAATAGTCAATGCGTTTGACCACAATCTCACCTGATGGAAAGTGATGATGAGGCCTAGGATGGTACACGCCTGCCTAGAAGATGCCTGTTCACTCTGGTCTTGAAGATGTCCAGATTATATTGGTCCGGGAAAACAGACCTCGGCAAGGAGTTCCACTCCCTAGCCGTTCGCATAATGAAGGCCGAAACAAATCGCTTCGTGCGAATGGGAGGAACTTCGACAACATAAGGATGGAAGCCCTCGCCGCGCCTGGTCGTCCGGTGGTGGAAAGGGGAAGGGGGGATCAAATTATGTAATACCTCCGCACACTCTCCGAAATGTAACCGATAAAACACCGAGAGGCAAGCTACACGTCTTCGGTGGTGGAGGCTCTGGAGATTAACCTCAACGAGAGCGTCATTGCCTATGAGTCTCTTCGCACGGTGTTCCACCGAGTCCAGTGCATCCAGCTGATACCGAGCAGATCCGTCCCAAAGGTGACAACAGTACTCCAAGCAGGAGCGAACTTGGGCTCGGTAAAGGTTAAGGAGCTGCTCAGATGTAAAATATCGCCTGACCTTAGAAAGTAGTTTTCTGGCAGCGGTTTTAGCAATGGACTCGATGTAGCGACCGAAATTGAGGCTGGATGAGATGTCCATACCAAAGAGCTCGAGATGGTCTTTAACCGGCACGGAGACATTTCGGAAAGTCGGAGTCAGATGGAATGGACTCCGTTTCGTCGAGAAGAAACAGGCCTGTGTTTTTGAGGGATTAAACCCAACCAAGTTTGCTTCACCCCAGAGGGAAACAGCTTCCAGGGTTGCATTCACTCCCTCCACCATCGCCTCCCTTAATGATCGGACATCTGCATCAGACTTCACATCCGGCAGATATCTCTCCGAAACTGCTGTCGTCTGCATACCCAAAGATACCGGGAGTTAGGAGCAGATCATTGATGTGCAGCAAGAATAGAGTTGCGGAGAGGACAGATCCCTGGGGGACACCGGCATTAATACCAAGCAGATCCGACGATGTGCCATTAATGACCACTCATATCGATCTGCCCCTCAGAAAATCTGCAATCCAGTTGCAAAGTCCGACAGCAATTCCATATGAAGGAAGCTTGCCAATGAGACTTGCATGCCAGACCCTGTCAGAAGCCTTTGAAATATCAAGAGAAACGACGAGAGCTTCGCCGCGTTTCTCTATGGCTTCACTCCATAAGTGGGTAGCATAAACAAGAAGATCCCCAGTAGATCGCCCACGGCGGAAACCGAATTGGCAGTCACTGAGGAGATCGTTATCTTTGAGGTAAGCGAGGAGACGGTTGTTCAATACACGCTCCATAATCTTACAGAGTATGGAGGTGATTGCAATAGGTCGATAGTTGGCAGGGTCGGCACGACTACCCTTTTTGGGTACTGGTTGGACATTGGCAAGCTTCCAGGTTTTCGGAACTTGGCCAATCTCAAGGGATAAGCGGTATAGGCGAGTCAGAATAGGAGACAACTCAGGGGCACAATTCCGCAGGACAATAGCTGGAATGCCATCGGGCCCACTGGCTTTATTCACGTCTAGAGTGCTTAGCGTTTTGAGTACCTCTTTCTGATGAATGCGAACTTCCAACATGGCAGAAGAACACTGAGGAAGCTTAGGTGGGTTTACGCCAGCAGCATCTAGTTGTGAGTTGTTCGCAAATATGGAGGCAACAAGTCCGCCTTCTCTTTGGAGGTGTGAGCCAGCGATCCGTCAGGCTTAATTAAAGGCGGCAGCGACGACCGGCAAAAATTGGCTTCGACTGTCTTGGCTAGGGACCAGAAAGCTTTGCTTCCGGATGGAAAGGAGGCTAATTTGGCTCCTATACGGCCAATGTGATCGAAGCGGGCCTTGCGGAGAACACCTTTACAGGACTTGGCGGCACTGTTAAAGGCTTTCTTCAGACTTCGAACATTTGGTGATTTGCGGGCTCGAGCATCCGCCCAGGAGCGATACGCAAAATGCTTAAGCGCCTCCGCTTTAGCACAGTCCGCGTCAAACCAAGGGCGGGCGCTAAACCGGCGTGGTACGTCAGAATATGGAATAAAGTATTCCATAGCCCGACGCATCACGCCAGCAATGGCATCCGCGCAGCAAGTCGAGTCGTCCGAAGAAAAGCAAGTGCGACGCCAAGGATAGATGCAAAGAAATGCCGCATCTCATCCCAGTCTGCTGAACCATATCGCCATACACGCCTAGTTCCGATAGGTTCCGGGTCGTTTGGAGAGTAAACTGATACGGACTTCACCAGACAGTATTTATTATTATCTAAAATTAAAACATAAATTGGTAATAAGGGTTGTTGTTTACCCTTAGGCGCAATATTACAAGAAACAAAACCCCTACAACGCGTCGCCTCAGTATCGCCGATTCCGAAAACTGCAATGTCTTGTTTACGTTTTATCATTCCCAACCGCTGCGCGCAACTATCAGTCATAAAACTAGCTTGACTGCCAGTATCTATAATACAGCGAACGGTTGAAAGTTTCGCCTCACCAACGTATACATCGATTAGCGCCGTAGACAATAGCACCGTAGTCGTACGAACTAACGGCGCATTGGAAGCGCAACAATTGTGAACAGCGATATCAACGTTGGAAGCTAAAGGCGATGAGTCATGAGAGGCAGCGATGACCGGCGTGTCACACTGCACAGTAGGTGGAGGCAAGACAGCATTATTTGCAGTTATTTTACTAATGAACTTGTTTGAAAAATGAATAAGACTATGATGTCGTTTGTGACACGTACGACAAACAAAACTCGAATTGCACTGATTAACATCATGTCCAAAATGCAAACAATTATAACAAATATGTTTATTTCGTACTAAAGCAAATCTATCTTGTGGGGATAAGTTTAAAAACTGCGTACATTTCGTCAACGTATGTTGAGCATTACAACATAAACAACTCTTAAAACCCTGTTCTTTAGATCGATTATTGATTGACGGATTCGAAACTGATTTGATGTTAGCAGCTAACGAACGGAATGAACGATGCGCATGCGCCTGCGTCGGTGACGGTTTGTCGTTAGGATTCGAACGGCTGCGCGGATTGGCAAAATTATTCGACTGCCCACAAGTGGAATTAATAATTTCGTCCGCCGATATTTCTCGCTGTAGGAAAGAAATTATTGTGTTAACATCAGGAATGTCGGATGAATTCGTTAATGAACGTTCATAGTTTTTTCGAGTGTGCTTAGGTATTATACGTAATAAAATACTAAGTAACAAAAAACTCCAATCTTTCACGGGAAAGTGCATAATTTCCAATGCCTTGATATTTTCTTGGTAAACGTTTAGTAAATTACGTATACTGTTTGTTGATTTATCAGTGCACGTTTCAATATCGAGAATTTAGTGGCAATAACCCTTCTATTCTCATACCGCGATATCAATATTTCCAAGGCTACTGAATAGTTCTCATCCGTGATAGGAATCGACTTTATTAAATTGTGCGGTTCCTTATGTACCGTGAGTAACAAATATCTAAATTTTTCCGCATCTGTATAGTCATTGTTCAGGTGGACCAAAGAACGAAATAAATCAAAATATGATGGCCAATCGGTAGGGTCACCATAGAAATTAGGCAAAGGCAAGGTAGGTAAATTTTTGCTATGAACTTGTGGTTGAATTAACGGTGATAATAACGGACGACTCATGCGTCGCTGCTCCTCATCCATCATCTTTAAATTATTTAAATGCGTAAAGATCGTTAAAATCGTTACGAATCTTAATCTGTTCCTCCTTGTTAAATGTTTTTAATTTCATGTAGGTTTTTTCAATTTTGGACTGTATTTTATTAAATTTACTTTGATGAGAATTTAAATCTGTAGTTCGCGAGCGAAATTGTTGAACATCTGTCGCTGCGAACTGAAGAGTGCGTTTTAAATCATCAAGGATGAGTTCCCTTTCGAACAAATCTTGTTCACACGGCGATTCTTCGACAGACATTTTGCGTAACAAAGATGGCTGATTCGAATTTGTCGTATTTGAAAATAAGTTGTTAAAAGTAATACTGTAAAACAACACAACTGGAAGATATCAATCCGGTTCGAACGGATCAAAGAAATTTATGTATGATAAGCCGGGGTTCGGCGACTTACCGCAAACGCTCCTTACACCGCCACGGGTACCGAGGACTAGGCTTTAGAACGGAGCTCGTCAACGCTCTTGGGAAACTATTGCCGGCAATATATCGCACATAGGAGTCCACAGGTCAGAAGGTTCACGATATCTTCCAGAGAAAAATGGGTACTCTCACTTTATGTAACGGAAATTATTTTAGAGCTGTTGATAGCTGCTTACACGTCGGGGACTCGAAGTGAACTACTCGCTCATTGGTGCTGGCGTCGGCCGTAAAGTCGTACCAACACACAAGGCACAGTGGTAGGTACGAAAATACGGTTTGTCACCTACCCCATACATAAATTAAAAAAAGAAATACAATCTTCCAATATGTGTTGTCTTATTAAAAATCTGTTACGCTACGGAACAGTTACTTTAACGGAGTAAAACTTAGGACCTATAGTAGGATATAGGCAATTGCCTAATTCAATGTCTCCGGTTTTTGGCGTTGATTTAATTAAGACAATTTATATTGACCCATACTTATTTTAAACCTACCGTTCTTAGGTGTGCTTTAGATTCGTGAAATATGTTAAAAAATCTAAGTAACTTCTTTGGTAATTAATTTAAGTACGCATACATTTAAAGTTTTGCACTTTATTTGATACAACAGCTGGTTTTTAGGGTCAGTGGTTACAAGAAGAATATTTATTAAATAAGTGATAATATACGCAGAAATATTACAAACCATCAATTGCTAAAGTAATTGAACAGATCACTTGTTGGTCAAGGCGATCTTTAAACCAAAATTTATTACAAATCCATGTTGATCAAAAAGAAAACAGAGAAACCATACACGTCCAATTCATGTCCAAAGAATGCATTCAATGGTTTATATAAATTGATCTAATATCAAATTACCTTTAAGTGTCTTATAAATCTCGTTCGCCTCTTTGAGCGTTGCATTGGTCAACTCCACATCGTGTTTAGCCTGAGCGTGAAGTTCGTCCAGTTTCGCCAGCAAATCGTTTAGTTCGTCCTGCCGATCGTGCCCTTGATTCAGAAGCTCTCGACCTCTGGTTATAGCACTGTCTAATGTGTGAAGAGTCTCTTGGTTCTCGGCGATTAGGCCGTCCAGCTCGGCTGACCTAGCGTCAATCTAGCAGACGCAAAATGTTGACTTAGATGAGAAAGTTTATGAGCCCTTTATGCCACAAAAGTGGATAAAAATTCTGAATTCAGTAACGGTTATGTATAGTTTGAGGAGCTCGATGGTGCAAGTGGCTAGCGCCTTTGGCTGCGATCGTTAAAGTTAAGCAACTTTCGCAGTGGTCAGTCACTGGATGGGTGACCAAAAATTTACTATCTCGAGTTCCTCCGTGCTTCGGAAGACACGTTAAGCCGTTGGTCCCGGCTGCATCTGCAGTCGTTAGCACCCACCAATCCGCACTGGGCCCGCGTGGTGAGTCATAGCCCAATCTCCCTATTCCATCCAAAGGAAAGGCCTGTGCCCCAGCAGTGGGGACATTAATAGGCTGATGATGATGATATGTGATAGTTTAAATAATGATTATTATCTTACATGTAAGTAATCGAAGTAAGAAAAAAGTCTGAAGATATAAATGCTGGGATGAACTTAAAGAACTTCATAAATATAATTATACAATTTATGACGCGTGTTTTCATACTTAATCAAATTTTATCCTAGTTTGTAATAACTTTTTTGGTAAAGTCATAACTTACCGTCCTGTTGACCTCCTCGGCATCAGTGTGAAGTTTGTTAAGCTTGATGTCTGGTAATAAAGTTGTGTTCACTTCCGCATACAGGCCTAGAGCTTCGTCGTATACTTTCTTGGCACGGTCGAGTGCTTGCTCGGCCAGCTCCGACATACTATTCAGCTTACCCGTGGCTGCGTTCAACTCATTCGTCAGGATTTGAATTTCATTGCTGTGGAAAAATCTTTCCATTGATATTGCGCCTACTGGTCAAATTTTATAAGATCACGATTCTACTCATTTAGGATGACATTGGATACACAATAAAAGCAAATTAGAGGTACGTAAGGCTCAAAAAGGCTCAAGAAGGTTGATTGTTTAATCAACACGTGATCTCCGAATAATGTGGATGGTCCACAGAAAGAAAAGGTACAAATAAAGACATGCGATTCTTCTTTTGTTTTGTCAGTCTACCGGAGAATCCACATTTGTGCCGTAAATTAATTCATTGTGCAAATTCACAGCTAAAGTTTTGACTCTGTACATTCACTGGACCCTCATTCGTGAGTGCATACTACCGCGAAATGGATATACAATTCACATGGTAGATACCTAATATTAGCTTGCTTGTTAATACCATCCTTGGCGATCTTGTTGGCTGCCAGAGAGGTGTTGAATGCCTTTTCAGCGATATCCTTTATGTTCCTAGCCTCGTTCTCGAGCTTTTTAGCCAGTAAACGTGACTCCTTGGCCAGTTTGGACATCTCTCCAGATTGTTTGCCAAACTGATCGGATCTATCGCGTGCTTTTGCTAGAGCCACTGCGCCTTCTCCATCCAAATACTCTAACGCACTCTGAAATAGAAAATCGTATGCTTTGAATTTATGATTTAGCTTAATTTTTATATAAAAGTAGCTAAATATATTTTTTAATTTATATGAATTGGTATCTATGTATTTATTGGTACCTACTGTACTCAGTCTATCAATAAAACCGCATAAAATTGTATAATATCCAACTTACATTAATCTCCTTCTGCGCCGCTTCTATAGTGTCTTCTGCTTTGGACACATTCCCTTTGCTTCTCTCTACGGCTTCAAGACCCTCGTAACTCTCATCCTCGATCTTCAATAGCATATTCCTAGAAGAGAAATCATTTGTCATCTAATAACATACAGCGTTGAACAAGGCGACAAAATTGTTTAGAAATAGCCGTTTTGTCGTTCGATCCTCTTTATGGCTGTTTGCTTAATTCTCATCGTCGAAATAAAAATAGTTTTTGATAAATTTGTAGAAATAAACAGAGCATTTGGACTAGAGGTGACACGTTTATATAAAAACATTACTGATAGAATTAAAATATACTCATGATAAATGTTCGTTTATGTAGCGGTAGTTACTATTACAGTCATACTCATCAAATACAATCAAGTACACATATACTTATCAAAAGAGTCTAAGCAACATTAACTTTTTGAACGTTTGACCGTTCTTTTATCTTTTTTTACATAAATAATACAAAATAATGTTTCAATCATATTTTTTACATAAATAATACAAAATAATGTTTCAATGCATGTTCGCGCTCTATGCTTTCCTAAGGAGTACCATTACACAGTTTCACTAAGCGCCATCTGCGAAAATAGCACAATATCAATGGCGTTGCGGGCACAAAACCTGGCTGCCTGGAAGCTACAATCAAGAGGGGTTTTAGAGCTTTAAACATAAAGCTTCGTGCTTCTTGAAAACTACACCAGATGGCGCTTTATGCCGAACTTTGAAAAACTTTTATTAAAGTAACACACACAGGTAATTTAATTGATATTCATTAAAAAAAAATTATATCGATCGACACACACCCATTTGACTTAACTTAAATCTTGATGGTCTCACTATTTTTTTCTAAAAAGACAACAAAAAAATATTAGATTTTATGTTATACTTCATATTCTCCGTGGCTCTTGTGGTACCTATCTACGCCTGGTTTCAATGTGTCGCCTACTCCGTGTCCGAATCCCGGTGGGACAAATGTTTGTGTGTTAAATTTTGTACCCAAGTCATGGAGGTGTCTGTATATGTCTTTTTAAATGTCATTTTATATTCACTAACAAAAATATAACACCACCCAAAAGTACTGTAGCTGTAGTCTTCTGTAAGGTGAAGCTTACTTCCCTTAATTATTTCCTATTTCCTCCTCCCTCCTCTCTTCTCCTGCTTCTCTTCATTAAAATATTCTTATACGAGCGCTCCAATTTCCATTAGGTACATTTTTAAAATAATCGATAAAGCTTAATAAAGGATACGTATTAATCTATACGAAGTCGATCGACGTTTATTGAGTCTATGTCACAGAACACAATAATACATGTATGTATTGTGTTGACAGCTGCCATTTCTAATTGTAAGCAACCCTAAAAGGCACAGACGGTCGATCGAACTTACAACCCTCTGTTAGGCTAGCGGCGGCCTTGTCTGGTGTTTATTCTTTTTCATTAAATTAGGTAGGTACTCGCTGAAAAATAATACTGTGATTCTAAATTCGATAGAAAAAAAAAATATAAACGAAAATCTTATCGTCACTGCGCCGGGGCTTTGTTCTTTGCAAACCTTTATTTTCTTCGAAATTATTATAAGATGTCCTTTTTATGGAGCGACTTTGGCAGTCTTTGTCGACGTGTTGATTTCTTATACGAATCGTAATTTCCGACTGCCTCAATATTTTGACCTAGTTCCTGCAACTTCGTCGGCGTGGAAAAATTATTGTCCCATACAAACTTCAAACCTCCTTTACCCCCTACACGTGTGATATTTGGAATAAGAACTATCCAATGTATTTTCGCAAGATTAAAACTATCTTAGTACCAAAATTTCAGGTAACTCGGTTTAACCGTGAAGAGGTAACAGACGCATTTAAAATCATTGATTAATCACTTAGTTTTCTATAGTTCAACACTAGACAAGGGTGAGTTAGTTACTGGATTACTACATAAATCAGTTTGGGGTTATTCGTTCTAAAATAAATTATATGTTTTCAAGTGTAATTAAACTAAATGCTGGGTATAAATCTGGAATTATTATTCCAACAGGAGTGATCTAGGTTTCCCATAATATTTCTACTGGTTCCGAAATAAGTGTCTTTGTTCGGGCATGCGCTGTCGTAGACTGTAATGAGCTCCCCGGTGAACGCGATTGCCGTCACGTCAGTGGGTATGAGGCTATGGACCGAACTGGTTCCATAGTTTCATATCCACTATCTAAAAATACTTAATTCCTACTATCTTCATTGGTAGGGATGAGTGCCGAGTGGAACACAATAAAATTTGTTAAAAATATATTTGTTTTCTTGCTACTTTTGAACTTTTAATTTTGGAATCCTTACATTGTTTTAATCGGTTGTTTGTTGTTTTTTAAATAAAACATTACGCAAAAAATAATGAAGTGGATTATTGTCTTATCGTTACTCCGTGATCATAGCATGCTTAAATATCGGAAACTCACAAAAAATAAGGTACATGGTAGCAATCCCTCGAATAACTATAATGGAGGATATTTTGAAAAATCCATTATTTTTATTTTGTCTTGGAAGCATCAAGCTATTATTTATTATTGTATTTCCGCGTTAACTTTAGTTTGTCGCGAATCCCACAGGAAACAATAAAAAGTATCTTATGTGTCAATCCAGGTCATACACTATATGCGTACCAAATTTCATGCGAATCCGTTCAGCAACTTTTGCGTGATTGAGTAACAAACATACATTGACATTTTATCGTATTAGTAGGATAACTAAACCAAAATTGTTAAAAAAAATGTATATTAACTATGGCAGTTAAATTTTCTTTCACTTAGATACATTTTATTGCTATTATTGTAATTTTGTTTATTGCAAATCTAAAATATGTTACCGCTGCAGTATTTGCTTATTGAAAATCTAACCACTATTACTTTGGTAAGAAAAATATTTTTGCTTTATAATAATGAAGTTTTGGAATAAGCCAAGAGCGAGAAATGATCTAGAATCATCCACATCCATTTGCTGGTGTTGAACTTCTGTCCATTCTGTCTGTCGATGTCTATGTCTACCTACTACACCTACTCACCCATGTCGGGGAGGTTGCCCGTGGGGTCACTTCCTGTCCCGTTGTCGAGCTGGCCCTGCGCGTCTCGTATTAGCCGCTCGTTCTATACAGGGCATAGCAGTCCACTCTCTCTGCCTATGTCTACAGCCACTCACGTAACGTCCGCGAGTCGGTCGGCCAGATCAGCGAGGTTGCCCGTGGGGTCTCTCCCGGTCCCGTTGCCGAGATGGCCTTTTGCGTCTCGTATGAGCTGCTCGTTCTAAACAGGGCACAGCAGTCCACTCTCTCTGCCTATGTCTACAGCCACTCACCTAACGTCCGCTAGGCGGTCGGCCAGGTCGGCGAGGTAGCCCGTGGTGTCGCTCCCAGTACCGTTTCCGAGCTGGCTTTTGGCGTCTCGTATGAGCCGCTCGTTCTAAACAGGGCACAGCAGTCCACTCTCTCTTCCTATGCCTACAGCCACTCACCTAACGTCCGCTAGGCGGTCGGCCAGGTCGGCGAGGTAGCCTGTGGTGTCGCTCCCAGTACCGTTTCCGAGCTGGCTTTTGGCGTCTCGTATGAACCGCTCGTTCTATATAAGTAACAGTAGTCCATTCCTCTCTGCCTATGTCTACAGCCACTCACCTAACGTCCGCCAGCCGGTCCGCCAGGTCAGCGAGGTTGCCCGTGGGGTCGCTCCCCGTCCCGTTTCCGAGCTGGCCCTGCGCGTCTCGTATGAGTTGCTCGATCTCGCCGCGTACTCGCTGCAACTCCCTGTCGAAGTCTGCATTTTCCACCACGGTGGGCGCTTTGGAAATTTTCGCTAGTATCTACACAAAAAAAAATAACTTAGTTAGCATCAAAGATGATCTTTTTTTACCAGATTTCAAAAAGCACGAGGTTCTCAATTAATTAAACAGGATTCGGCCTCAATTTAAATAAAGGGTGTTGGTGCAAGTGGCCCTTGAAACATAATTTTGTTTTTAATCTCATATAAGAACTTTGGTCCAAATGGGGCTGAATGTTATTTGTTTTCTCTCACTCCAATTAAGTCTCCAACCAACTTCAAGAATCGACTTTCTAAAACGGAGGAGGTTCTCAATTCTTCGGCAATTTCTATTTAACAAGCGTCATATATTTTTCACTCACGTCGTCCAGCTCTCGAAGTTCACGTCGGTGATCGTTAACAGCGTCTAGCACCAGGTTGTAGCAGGGCGGGCAGTCCTCGCAGCCTTGACCATCAGCGCGGCGACGTTTATTTTCCATACATCTGCATAATACCAAATTATACTTATAGCAACTCCATTCAATCCACAGTAACGCTATTCAGTATAAACGGCCGCACTCGGAGCTAAGTCAATTAACGAAAGAGACCAAAGGCTTATCGTTCTGTCCTAAACGTGGTTAGTTGAGCTAAATAAATAGATTATTTTTTGTGCACCCACAAGGCACCCATCCTATTATCGGTCATTGCGTAAGTTACTTAACTACCACGATCAGACTTCTCTGCATTTTTAACACAAATATATAAATATATCAATGAGAAGTATTGTTCGCATCTGTACTCATTAAAACATCAAATTCAAAAAATCACAGATAAAATAATGTCTGATGTTATACCGGTCACATCTCCTGCCTTCGACGTTCTCTTGGCAGGAACACTGGCCGGCCACGTCGCACTGGTAGTTGGTGGAGCCCCATTCATCGCAATCGCAATCTGAACAGCCAGCCCCAGAGAATCCGTAGTGGTACGCCCGGCAGTGGTCACAATGCTTCCTAAACGAAATGCAGAAGTTATATCAGTTGTTTATTGCATGTATCCGTACTATCCAAACCATAGTTAATTATAAAAATGGCACTTTAAATTAGCAGTGCGAGTATGTAAACAAATCTTTTCCATTGTTATGGTACGGCTACGGAAGTATGGTAAAAGCACGCATTAAAGTTACGTGTTTAATTTTTGGTCATGTCCTGTTCTTATAGCCACTCTATAAGTATTTGACTGCCGGTATAATTAATAATCGTCTATATAGTCTAGTCGATTGTTTCCTATTATTATAAAAGTTACAAGTGTTGGTCAGGAACTTATAACGCATCCTACAGTCTCCCGTAGCTATTAGCATTTGGCCAAGGCCACGCAGAAGAACTTCTGATAACCCTCGCTGCCACCTCTGAGATGCACAGATGGAACACTAGCTCATAAGCCACAGGAGAAAGCCGATTTACTGGCAAAACTCTTTGCTGCTAGCTCCCGAATCGATGATCGCAATGCACTGCTATCATCATTACCTCATTATGGCACAACGATGCTTGATATTAAAATTAGGCAGCGTAAGGTTAGCGCCGAATTACAATCACTCGACGTCCGGAGAGCTATTGGACCTGATGGCATTCCAGCTATTGTACTTAAAAAATGTGCAGCAAAGTTGTCTCCCGTGCTTACACGCTTGTACCAACGCTCATATTCTTTGGGGCGTGTGCCGAAAACTTGGAGGGAGACAACGTGCAAGCGGTGGCCAAAAAAGGGAATCGCTCAAACCCACCCAACTACATCCGTATTCAAGAGGGTTCATTAGGGATTTTTTATGAATAAATTGATTCATTCATCAGGGATTTTTTATGAATGAATTGCTTGTGAACGCAGGCCTCCAGCATTTTTGGCATAAAGGGGAGGATGGAAATCAGCCGAATTTGATTAGATCGCGTTGGATTTGCAAATTTGGGAAGAGGCCGTGCATACGCTTTACACCAGAGAATAGGGAAAGCACCGGTGCCTAGAGAAGTATTTATGAGCGTTATAGCAGGAAGAAGATAGTTAAGAATAATGACGATCTTGCGACGACTAATTGCCGCGACGGGCAAACATAACCAAATCGCGAAAGGTAAATTTTGTATATGGAAACAACAACCTATAATCTGTGGTGAGTAGCATTGAACCAATATTTAGTACTTACTCTGTGGTCTGTAACTCCACGGTTTTTTCCTTGTCAAGAGAGTTCTTTCCTATTTCGACTCTGACTGAATGGTGTGCTTTTACGAAGTTCTGGATATGAGAGCTAAGTATCTTCTCCGTGTTAACTAATTACTATTTATTGTTCATTAATGGGTATTATGTGATTTCACGTGTCGATTAGTTAGCCAGAAGAATGGCTTACCTATAATACGAGCAGTACTTTCTTAACATAGATCAGAGATTGTACTGGCAAACGCTTGCGGATGTTGCGCAGGATGTTAGTCAGAGTGCACTTGACTGAACATACAAGGGAGGCCAAGAGAGCGTGTGCGAGGGTTGCTCGACACACCTTGGCTCCATGATGAACAAGGGAGGCCAAGAGAGTGTGTCCGAGGGTTGCTCGACGCACCTTAGCTCCACGATGAACAAGGGAGGCCAAGAGAGTGTGTGCGAGGGTGGCTCGACTCACCTTGGCTCCATGATCAAAGTCTTATGATAACCAAACAGGATACGCTAAAAGTGTCCTGTACCAATCATGAATTGTCATGTAAATTGAGTTAAAATCGACGTGAATGCATATGTGGATATTGATGTGTGTGTACATATAAGGTAGAGGTTTTACTCTTGGCGAGGAAGATGCTTAGTGTCTCAAGTCAGAGATTCATAGTATAATTTCCTTATACAAGTCCTTGATGATCTGGACAATTTATGATGGGAATAAATTGAACTAAGCCAAGCAGATACCTATAGCAAATTTTACACAAGACATAATAAGGTATGAAACTTTGATATAACTTGCACTAGTATAGTAACATGTTTAAATTGTTCAATGCCGAAAGTGTGAATAATCGCAGTCTATCTCCGTCTATTGTACACCCTGTTGGTGTGGATTGCAGGCAGACGATGAGAATGTGTGGTTCTGTGTGGTTTCTGGTTGAACCTCTAAAGTATGTCAGTATTTGGTAGTAGTTAATATACTTTTTGCACTAGTTGTAAAGATAGATCAAGACAACCACGCAGAATGCCCCATAAGTCTCGTCGCGACACTAATATCATCACTACCCATCGCATTCGATTTAATGTAGAGTATTATCTTTTCAACCTCTGCCGGTGTGATTGGTCAAAAATGGAAGGGGTCAATGTTAGGACACGTTAAACCATTTATAGAAGCAACGTTGCATGCTGTAGATAAATGATCCAGTTTCTAAGTAGTGGTTAAATGGGGATTGAGATCATTTAAGTTTATAAAACTTCGAAAAACGATCTGATTGGTCTAAATGTCGCGATTTACCGAACGTAGCGTTCCGAGGAACTTTCAGATATCGGCAGAGGATGAGGAAGAAAGATTGTTGAGAATACATCCGCGTTTGACGTTACGTATCATCTGATTACACCGATTTCTGGCTCTCGCTTGTCGTCTTGTAGAGCTTCCACATTTCTTCACAACAATCTCTTCTGTAATTGCGATATGTACGCTCACTACGCCTCATTGCCATCTGGATACCCACTGACATTCAAGGGGCTGGTTGACGCTTCAGCTTCACTTTTCTCATGTTAAATATTTTCACTTTATCATCAACGCTAGTAGCTTGAAACCCAGTTGATATCAGAGACATTCTTTTGTAATTTTGCTAAGTCAAACGCGTGTAAGAGCGCCTGTGCAAAACCTGCCAGGAGCGATATTTTGACCATGAGATCGAACAAGGGAAAGATTAGAGGTTAGGATTAAATCAAGCCATTTAGCATCACCACAATTATTTTGGTGAGTTGGTTGAAAGGGTTAAAAATGTAGTAAGAGTCAGAGTAAGAAGAAGCTATAACTTTGTACACAAATGTACTGCGTAGGTAGGTAGCGACTCCACCTTCGCCTCGGCTACAACGATCATTGCGAATTAGGGTTAAACCAGGGAGAGAATATGCGGAAGATTGTAGATGTGGTTTTAAGCAAGATTCCGATATAAGGACAGTTTAGTAAGTGTAAGACACTAGTTTCACTTTATTCGTGAAAAATTCAACGATAAAACTGTTGAAATGTATTATCTACAAACGAGGAAATTGCCATCTGATATACTAACGAAACCGTTAGGCAAAACCAACCATAAGCTCTGTATAGACAGCATGGGTATGGCAACTTATACAATCCTTACAAGTTTTTCTTTTACAACACTAGACACCTCGAGCCTCTACAATTCCACCGTAACGTGGCGTCACTAAGCGCGTTCTATCGTCTATACCACAGCGAGTGGTCTGAGGAGTTATTCTCTCTTATTCCACCTTCCCCTTTCTTTCAGAGGACCACACGCGCTGACCTACGTTGTTACCGTCTAACTGTGGCCACAATTCCAACGCGAACAAAGAAATTTGGTGACTCATTTCTTTGTCAAACTATCCGTAAATGGAGTTCTCTGCCCGCCCACGTGATCCCTCCCTCTTACAACCAGGGGTCCTTTAAAAAAGGCGTGAAGAAGCAACATACAGGCCGGCAAGGTGAGGTTGGCTTTTGTGGCAAGTAGAACTGCTGTACCAGCTATCTTCACGTCTGGACTTAACCGTCACTTTACATCAGGTAGGGTGGAGTCATTTGACGGCCCTATATATAAAAAATAAAATAAAAAGACGTGATATTTGTACTGCAGAGTTACTTTTCATTCGTTACTAGTCAGATATGAAAGTGTTTGTTTTTCATGTTATGAGTTTATCTTACCCATCGATGCCCGGTTTGCAGTAACACTGGCCGGTGTAAGGGTTGCATGTAGCGTTGTACGAGCCCTCCAAGTTGCACTCACAAGGGATGCAGCCTTCGCCAGAATCGATGTTATAGTACCCGTCCTGATGAACAAGGAGAGGATTAACGAGTTATGCTAGATTAAAATGTTATGCTAGAATGAATAGCATACTGTCTCATTCTTTTGTTATAGGAAGGTTCAACAAACACGGAAGGATAATTATTATCTCGCACTTATCACAGTTCCAGCCAATGACAAGAGGGCGGCAGGAGCAGAGGCCGGGCAGACCGCCGCAAAAGAGCGGGCCCACAGCACTCTCAAGGTTGTCGACCTCGTGGTACTCGGAAGGATGACTATAACCTCGCACTTGTCGTAGTTCCGGTTGATTACGAGAGGGCGGCAGGAGCAGAAGCATGTCAGACCGACGCAGATGAGCGGGCCCTCAGTACTCTCAAGGGTGCCGGCCTCGTGGCACTCGGAAGGAAGATTATTACCTCGCACTTGTCACAGTTCCGGCCGATAACATGAGGGCGGCAGGAGCAGAGGCCGGTCAAACCATCGCAGAGAGGCGGGCCCTCGGCACTCTCAAGGGTGCCCGCCTCGTGGCACTCACACGGCTTGCAGTCACCTTTCTTCTTCTGGTCCAACGCATCGCCGAAGTAACCTGTTGGTTACGATGGTATGCAATTAATTAAATATCCTTTATTCCTTCTGGCCAGTCGCACTTTATTATTATTTAATGATCCTATTCTTTATTCTTAACGTCAGTTAAGGTACAAGTCGATTTTCCATATGTATGTCATATAAATACGTATACAGAAATATAGAGGAGTGAAAAAGTTACATTACTGCATTACTGTCATACGTAAGTAATCGCATTTTTTTTTGTAAGTATCAATGAAGAACAAGCAGCACTTGTAGGCGCTTTGCAGACGACGGGGCGGGGCGGGCCGGTCAATTTCGCCGCGAATAATAGCACAAAGTGAATCCTATACTTCAAACGCACACATAGGCCAAAAAGACCGCGCCGCAGGTGCCCGGCGGGCACTGGCGGCGCGGCATGTCCGCGGCTGCCCGCCGTGGATCATACAAACCAGTTTATATGCAGTAACGCAGACGGCGGCGCGGGGCGGTCAGCTCAGTCCGCGCCACGCGCTTTTTAGTGATGGACTATTCACTAGAACGAACGTCCTGAACTGACCGCCTCTGTCCGTCGTGTGCTTTGCGTACGCGGCGCGGGCAGCCGCAGACATCGACGGGCAGACGCGGTCTTTATTGCTTCGCGGACAAAATGCCCGCCCCGCCCCGTCGTCTGCTAAACGCCGTATTGTTTGGATTCTATCTCAATACTCGCTATGCATTCTGGAGACCTGAAAAATAATAGTCTAGTTTTTAGCGACTAGGGCTCATTTTGTCCAGCCATAGCATTGGAAGAGATCAGCATATTCCTATGTCGCTACTCTCAGTGGTTTCCTATATATAAAAAAGGTAGCGAAGAGCACTACTCACCACTCAAGCATTTGTCGCAGTGCTCGCCGGCGGTGTTGTAGATGCACTTCAAGCATTCCCCGGTGGTTCGGTCGCAGTTGCCCACTGCGTTGGGGTCCACGTTTCCGTTACACTGGCACTCCATACACTCGGAGGGCTGGCCCACTTTACCCGTGGGGTCACCGAAATGACCATCGGCACAGACCTCGCATCTGGGACCTGTAAAATTATGTCGTTATAATACTATAGAAAAATTCAGAAACATGAAATGACAAGAAAAGAGAAAGAATTTACAATGAGTGTATTCTGTAATGAGGGCCGACAGGTGGCAGCACTGAGACGAAAAGTCTACCCATTCGACTAATCAAGTATGTCGTCATAGTCAATGGATCAATTTAACTGCTCGATTCGATTCATTTGCGCCAGAAACTTCATCAAAAGACGTCTTGTCACAGTGGCGCACACTGGTGACAAATTTTCCTAAACACCTTCATGAAGCCTGATTATTTTAGTAGGAGCTCCAAACTACGACACTGGTATGGACAATACTTTGATTTGTACCTTATGTATATTATTATATTGAAAACGGGCCTTGAGTGGTGACTTCTTAATTTTATGCACCCATGTACTCAAAATACACGATCTTTACGAGTTAAACTGACAATCTAAGTCGTGACCGGGCAGATAGCCTTAATATTATATATCTAAACTATCTGAAAACAATAGTCGTTGTAATCCTGAAAAGGTACTGTACCGGCATATCCCTCAGGGCAGTCTGTGCAGACGATGCTGCCGTCCATGAGCTGGATGCAGCCGCTGTCCCTCGGGCACGGGCATGGTTTGCAGTCGTCGGGGGTTCCCGTTATCGCGTTTCCATAGAAACCTTTAGCGCAAAGCTCGCAGTTGCTGCCGGTCGTATTGTGCTTGCATTTACAAAAACCTGTAGGTACGGATGAATTATAAAATTGGCTTCATTATGCGCAAAGGGGCGATTAGTTTCAGTCTATCGTTTATCACTAAGGTGGGATAACGTAAGTTTAGATAACGGCAAACTTCTGGAGGAAACCCACAGACAAATAAACTTGCTCAATAAATGTTTATGTGTGAACTTGCTAATGCGCAGGCTTCGTTGTCCATGGTTCATACTAAAGAAGTTTGCCCGGTGTATGGGTTCTTCTAACTCACCGGTAGCAGTGTCACATATGTGAGCGTGGCCGTTGCAATCGCAAGGTATACAGGCCGAATACGGTCCACCGTTAGCTGGCTCATGCTTATACCCTGGAGCGCATTCCTCGCAGTAATCTCCAACATAGGCCTTTGGACATGAACACATCTCCACCCAATTAGCTGGTGCGAATCCTCTTTCCCGGCCAATCTTGGCCGTCTCCAACTTAAAGGTGGTAAGGTAACCAGTCCCGCCCTTGTTATAAGTTCCTCGGATCCTTATAGCGGTCAAGTTTTGAAGAATGGACATGAACTCAAAGTTGGACAGTGTGGGCGTCCACCCGTAGAGCGGGTCTTCGTGCAGCCTGAACGTGTAGGTTTGAGACTAAAACAAGAATACAATAATTCTGTTTTATAATTATGGATTAATGAAAAAGGTATTTTTTTAATACATTTATCTGTAATTAAGTCTAAATATTGCAAACCATACTCATTAATAGTAGTACAATAGTTAAATTCGCTACACACGCCATTCGCTTAATGCAATTCATATTAATGCGTATCCTAGCAGCTTGTTACCTTAAATAATAATTTTTTTTTCGAATGCAATATTATTATTTTGCCATTAATAATAATACTAATGAAAATTGGAAAAAATATGCCTTCAAACATAGTTATAGTGAATTCTGAATGCGGCTGTAAGGTTTGAAATCCATTTTAAATCAAATGTTCTAATCGTAGAACAAGAAGTATTTTAATTAAGAAGGGTTAAATGAACATAATAAATCCAACTAAATGTTAATAAAAACAGAATATCAAAAACAATATACCTTAAAATTACAAGTTTGTATAAAAAGCACACGCTTACTCATTAAGACTCATTAAACATTAGCAGACAAACTAAGCTAAATTGTTATTGACTTATTAACTGCAGGAGAATTTTCACATTACCTGGTCCGTAGGCTCTGGGTTGTTTTGTCCATAAATATTCATTGATATGGAGCCTCTCGCGCCTTCAATGATTATGTCTTGCGCGGAGGGGTACCCTCTCGACTCGCCTAAACGGAGCGTGAACTTCAGATCATGATTGTAGGATGCCCGCTGGTCTCCCAAGAACTGGTGCGAGGCCAAGAAATACACCACCTCGGGACCACTCGACGTGACAGCTGTAAGGCGGAAATGTGATTTGTAAATATTTAAGGTATTAGCACCTGCAGAGGGCCAGACGGCACCCTTAAGAAAAGATAGAATATTATAGTATATAGGATGTAGAGGCAGGGTAACTCGGCTGCAGTTATCGAGATCAAATTATTTATTTCGTTATCAAGCAAGGGAAGAGAGAGAAACGTCAACTAAGTCTATCATGTTTAACGTGTTCTGAAGAAAGGTGACGTTAGATGCAGCAAAAATCGGCGGGCATGTGTGAAAACAGTTATGATTGCGAAGGAAGTATATATTTAATGTATGTCCCTACTGGTGCTGTATTCTTTCTGCCCACCTTGCTTTGGGCATGGCGTGAAGATTTGTGTGTGCATCTGATATAAATACTATGAGGCATGTATGTAATTTGTAGTCAGCTAGCAATATACTGTTATGACCTTGCTACTAAGACTGCATTACTACCACTGTAGGCAGTTAGCAGCAGCAGTATGTAGGCACAGGTAACTTAGGCTTAATTCACATTCATCACTCTTTTCATACAAGCCCGCAGGTTTTTGTAACTTTTGACGTCACCTACTCTCAGAATGCGATCAATTTGTCGTCATTCTCTCATTTGGTATCATTTCCATATGTTATGTAACTTTATGTTATCACATAGGTGTGTAATCAGCGTGTCATTCTATATACTGACCAATATTCTGGTTGTTTGCGTTGAACATGAGCTGCGTCGGCCGCCTCTGGTCGTCTTCAGCCGCCCACCGCTCCGAGTCTCTGATAAAATGCGCGCTGAGTTCATGCGCCTGGTACTTGGGCGCGGCGCTGCATTGTGACGAATGGCCGAAGCAGAAACATGGCGTGCATCCGAACTCGTTGCTCAAGTCCAAGTTGAAGAAGCCTGGTTTACACCTGTTCGGCGAGGTCAGTGTTCATAGTGAGCATAATTTCTTATCGCAAACGTTAAAATACATCATGAATGTATTTATATGAGATTTATGCAGAACTGACAATCTACCGAACTTGAAAGTTGGACTCAAAATAGAAGAGGGAGAAGCCAAATTTGAAAGAATGCAATTATCATAAGTAGGTATTTCATTCAACAAGAAAAATAACTTGACTTCTTGCATATGTTCAAGAGAAAATTAGATCAGGTACCAGTATTTTGAAAAGACCGCTTTGAAGACGAGAAAGTGCTATGTAAACAGTTGCGACTACAAATGAGCTTTGCGTTTGCATACTTAAAATCAAACGGGTTTCTAGAACACTTGATCTCTGCAAACTAATATAGAGCAACAAAATAATGCCCTGTTAACATCAGCTAGGAACCGTTCTCAGACTCCTCCACAGAATTACCCTGAATGTCAGATGGGGTACAATAATTTCTTCACAGTCAGTCAGTCTTACCCTGTCTGGGTCTAATGATTGAATTGAATGAATGACTCTCTACAGCGCTTGCGTTTTGCTAGCACAGACACACCCCTGTCTCCGGATTGCACTGCGGCATATTCCCGTAGTAGCCAGCTTCGTCGCTTTCAAAAGGCTTGCAGCCAGGGTTCGTGAACTCGTAGTCGTTGTCTTACCCTCTCTAGGTCTAATAATACTCACACCCTACAGCGTTTGCTCTCTACGTTCTTCTTGCACAGACACACCCCAGTCTCCGGGTTGCACTACGGCGTGTAGTTAGGTTAGGAGCCAGCCTCGCCGCAGTCGCACGGCTTGCAGCCAGTTTAGTAAACTCGTAGTGGTTGTCTTACCCTCTCTAGGTCTAATGATACTCACTCCCTGCAACGTTTGCCCTCCACGTTCTGCTTGCAAAGACACACTCCCGTCTCCGGGTTGCACTGCGGTGTGTTCCCGTAGGAGCCAGCCTCGTCGCAGTCGCACGGCTTGCAACCAGCGTTTGTGAACTCGTAATGGTTGGGGGCGCAAGCGTCGCATTTATCGCCCGTCACGCCGGGCTTGCATTGACAACGACCCTCAGCGTTACACTGGAGGCTGCGAGAACCTAGTAAGGAAAACAATTTCAAACTCATAAAAATGCTATAGCTTTAATATATATATATATACTTTGCAGGGTTAACATAGCATTAAAGGCAGACATACCAATGTTTCATTATAAACTTCATTCTTACACTTCGATGACGCTATATTTAGCATTATTTAAGTCTGTGAAATATAATGATAGGCAGGTAAGAATTCGGATTGGCTGAGTAGGGTATTACTGCGTCAAAATGCACGTGATACAGCATCCAGACGATTTTATTTAAGATACAAAAAAAATGTGACAGTTTTTTTGGATTCGGTTAAAGTTGAAGTCGGGTTACAGTTACAGGTCAGGCATAATCCGTCGGAGTTCTGGTAGAAGTTTTCCCTGCATCGTTCGCAGTTGGGTACGTCTCGGTTCTCTGCGCAGTCGCAGCAGCGTGCCCGGTGCGCCCATTCAACTCCTTGTCGAAGTAGCACTTGTTGGAAAACCCGTCACTAGGCTGATGATGATGAGGAAATGCTTACCGGCCGGGTCACAGTTGCAGGGCAGGCATAATCCGTCGGAGTCCTGGTAAAAGTTTTCCCAGCATCGTTCGCAGTTGGGTACGTCTCGGTTCTCTGCGCAGTCGCAGCAGCGTGCCCGGTGCGCTCATTCAACTCCTTGTCGAAGTAGCACTTGTTGGAAAACCCGTCACTAGGCTGATGATGATGAGAAATGCTTACCGGTCGGGTCACAGTTGCAGGGCAGGCATAATCCGTCGGAGTCCTGGTAAAAGTTTTCCCAGCATCGTTCGCAGTTGGGTACGTCTCGGTTCTCTGCGCAGTCGCAGCAGCGTGCCCGGTGCGCTCATACAACTCCTTGTCGAAGTAGTATTTGTTGAAAACCCCGGCAATAGGCTGATGATGATGAGGAAAAGCTTACCGATCGGGTTACAGTTGCAGGGCAGGCATATTCCGTCGGAACCCTAGTAGTAGTTTTCCCTGCATCGTTCGCAGTTGGGTCAGTCTCGGTTCTCTGCGCAGTCGCAGCAGCGTGCCCGGTGTGCTCATACAACTCCTTGTCGAAGTAGCACTTGTTGGAAACCCCGACAATAGGCTGATGATGATGTGGAAAAGCTTACCGATTGGGTTACAGTTGCAGGGCAGGCATATTCCGTCGGAGCCTTGGTAGTAGTTTTCCCTGCATCGTTCGCAGTTGGGTCCGTCTCGGTTCTCTGCGCAGTCGCTGCAGTGGCCACCGTGGCCGGTGCGCTCGTACAACTCCTTGTCGAAGTAGCATTTGTTGGAAAACCCGTTGCAGTTGCACGCTACGATCACAAACACATCGCTTTGAGCTTTTAGAGACATTATGCATCATCATAGACGGGCATAGTATTTTTATAAAAAGAGACTTTAATGGGCGTTGTTAACATGAACACTTCAATAAGTAAAGCTAGGTAATTCTTTGAATGCAGATACGGTAACAAAGGTAATGTAATTTTATATGGTAAAAATAAACAAGTAATATAATATTTCACAGAAGAAGAAATTAAAAGATCGAAAAACGGCAAATTGGATATAATTTAAAAGATCATTAACATTTAATTTTGAAAAACTTTTGGATGAAGCTCGATGGCGGAAGTTGTTTAGCGCAGTAGCGTTTTAGTAGTAGCAGTAGTAGTGGCGGAATTTTAGCAACTTTCGCAATGGCATGTCATCAGATGTCACCAAAAATTGATTATTGTACTCCCTGCTTTGGAAAGTACGTTAAGCAGTTGTTGCAGGCTGCATCTCCAATCGTTGACCCAGCAATCTGCACTGGGCCCACAAAATCAAAATCAAAAATCATTTATTCAGTCAAGGTTGTTACAAGCACTTGAAAGTCGAGAAGCTATTATTTTCGCAAAACTACGGCGGGAGACCTTGTACTGAGAAAATCCGGCAAGAAACTCAGCAAGAGCTGTTTTTTTCTCCCTGTATTTATTATATACAGAGTCTTCAAGTAGAAAAATGACTTCAGAGATAATTCTGAAGTCACCTTCCATTTTAAATTTAGAATATAGCTATATACAATAAGTTTTATAGTGAGCTTTACATTTAGTACGCGGCTTTAGATACCACATCATTGTTATGAAATGTACCATTACATTACAAGAAACACTATGTCCATGCATTAGGATCATTAAGATAATCATCAACTTTATAATACCCTTTACACATAAGAGTATTCTTGAGCTGAGATTTAAATTTGGTCAGAGGAAGCTCAATCAGATCTTGGGGAACTTTATTTAACAGTGCTATACTACAACCCAGAAATTAACCTCTTGATTTTTGGAGTCTAAATCATGGAACGGCAAGCTTGTTCTTAAACCTTGTGTTAAAGTTAGTAAGGTTTGACTTATTTTTGCAAATGCGTCATAGGTTTTTCTTACATATATTATCTTTTTATAAATGTATTGCGATGCAAGTGTTGAAATATTAATTAACAACATTAATTAACACATGTTGGGTCATGATCAAATTTCCTTTTTCCATGCATGATGATGATTTTTACACATGGACAAAGTTGAATAATATGATGTTAAGAAAAATTAAAAAAAAAATGTATATTGTTTAAATAAATCGTGCAACTAAGCAAAACGTATCTACGAAAAATATTTTTTTTCGATTTCGCAAAATACTTATATTCGCACAGCACAGTTAAACAATCAAGATATTAATGTAATTTAATAATATTGACATCATTTTCTTTGTATTCATGATCCAATCCAATCTTGGTAGGTAATAAAAACAAAAACAAACAAAATAATTTCTTTTGTAAAGTACCATCAAATAATTTACATATACGCAACCTCCTTCGAATGCAAAACTTAAAAAAATACAATTGATTGGCTTTATTTTATTATCGTAAATAGAGCAACATTTTCTAAATCGAAATAAAATTTTCACTTTTGGATTTTTTTTATGATAAAATACTTATAAAATTTGTCTTATAGCTACGCAAGCGCTATATTAAACATGTATAAGATCGCAGGAGCTAGGTCACCGATAGATTTTCATGAAATACTTTTAAACATATCCAAAATGCAAATTACGCGCGGAGAAATTGACGATTAATTGAAAAAGCAATTTTTTTAGAAATAAGTGGAATTATAACTCTGTATGTTCACAGCCATCAGAAAAACCCGTCTTCGATTCATTTAGTCTGTCCTTTATTTCATAAATGAAATGAAAATCGAATTCAGTCGGTCACTTCTACAAAAAGGTAGATAGTTATGAAACATAGAAATCATGGAAAGCAGTAGACAAGTATAAAGACCTACAAATTGAAGGAGGAAGGACGTACGTACACATTTTCTATCTACAGCAGTAGATTGAGCCAGAAAGCTCGTATGTAAAATTCGCATGGCTAATACAAATATACTTGCACATTTGCTATTTGCACATTTGAAATCAGTATATCGTTATCATGCTCTTTAACGAAAAGGAGAGACCGCTGGTAAGTTAGCAAATAGAAATAGTCATGTGAAGTCAACATTTCACTTAACCTGCTTCATTAGGATAAAGTACATGGCAAATAAACTAACCTTTACACTCATGCACATTGGTCGGTGAGGCGCGTCCCCAAGGAGCATCGTTGTAGAAGTCGAGGCAGCGTTCACACTCACGGCCCGCGGTGTTATGTTCACATCTGCAAGATTTTATTAATTTTGTCACGAATTTATTTGAATGTTAGTAGGATATACCTATATTTAATATTTCTCAATTTATTTTTAACAGTACGACATAAATATTTTATTTGTTTTCACGCACACCAAACATTTAATTAAACACTCTTTGAACTATACTCAGAATGAAGAAGCACATTTTTCATTATTTGTGACGTTTCGGATCCTTTGCAAACAGTGGTCACAAGAAAAGAAGAGAAGTAGCATGTGGATCGGAAATGCCAGGAATAGCAAAAAAGTTAGTAAATCTTGCTCTCTATGTTTTAGAAATATATCACACTGCCGCCGCGCCGCAAACCACTCTGGTTTCCAGTGCTGCGATTAATTGTAATGTTTCCGGTGCTGCAATTAATTGATTCAAAAATAGCATGTAATTTATCTAATACATTCCCACAGTATGGAACAAGTTTACATGTAGATTAAAACCGCAGCACTTGTACGTACATCGCCTTATTTTAAGTACATCGCCGAAAATTTGTATCAAAGTGAAAATGTGCAGCTTGTCTAGAGTACTTATTTGAGGTTGTTTTTGGTGTGCAAGCTTACCTGCAGTTCCTAGCGTGTACTCAGGCGAGATAAATAAGTCTAGAGAACTTATTTGAGGTTGTTTTGGTGTAAGGCGAGAAACATAATATGCGTAACAAAGATTATGACATCGGCAATGGATGGCAATACAGCTCTAAGCCTACTTGCAGTGAATTTGCTAAACCTAGATTCAACTAAAACTAGATATATACAATAGAAAAATATCAAAATCTCAAGTCAATTTGACATTATTGTATGGACTATAACTAGCAAAATTGCTGCAAGTGGGTCTTAGTTACCTACTCGTCTAGGTTATATAGTATTCAAATTGAAAACTGCCGCTTGTCTCGGGCACTATAGGTTACTTTCGTTGGAAAGCTCACCTGCAAGCTCTAGATCGTGTTCCATCCTGAAGTTCGTACGTGTCACAGACTGAAGCGTGTCCGTTACACTTGCAGCGGGCACCAACTGCCACGTCGGCGATAGCGTACCAATACGACTGCAGTACTTGGACATCGCCGAAGATGTCGTCTCCGAAGGTATTCAGACGATCGAGAGAGATACGCAAGTCGGTGGCTGTCACCCATTCCTAAATGTTAAGATTACGCATTAGAGAGAGAACATGGGCAAATGATAGTGATTGCAACTAAATAACACTATGTTTTGTAACATCGCCTCGTGCGACTGAAGTAACGAAGGTTGCTCCACGGAAGGAGTCAAAGTAGGCAGCGGGAATGTCGGTTATATTTTTGTTATTTTTCCTTTTTTTAAGCATTTAACTACTAGATGTTTTAATCTAAAAAATATTTTATTACAACAAATTCCACGCGGACCAGGCATAATGGTCAATAATATATGTTATTAACGGGAATGTTACTATGTACCTTGTTTTTAGCGAGTTTCCAATATTTCGGCACTGTTGCAAGCGCCATGATCACGGAGTTACTCCGTACTATAATGTTAGTGACCATGAAAGTTTAAAACAATATAATGGTCAGTGCATCCTCTCGTAAAGCGGAGGGGTTCGAGTCCCGTGTGCTACCTGGTCCGCGTGAAATTGTCTGTAGTAAAATTTTCTTTATATTTTTGTTATAGAAAGCGTAAACTATGAACTCTACTGTACCATTATGCGACCTTCTTTGAGTAATTTTTTCCACCCTTTGTACATTTAAAATCTTATTTTATGATTAGTTGTTCTTATCAGAATAAATTTGTTAATGATTAGGAATTATCAATAATCACTTAGTTTGTTATGAATGTCTGATAATATTATCTGTTTATTGGGGATAAAATGGTATTGACAATAGAAAAAAAAACTTCAAGGTGATTCAATGATTTACGAGAAAGGAGTGGCTCCTATATTTAAATTCATACAATAAACACTTATTTATTTTTTGGGGCGTTTTGTAATTACGAAACGAAGCAGTCTAAGATCCTCTGCTCACTTGCAGCAAATTTGCTCAAACTCATTTCAACTAAAACTAGCTTTTACCCATACAAAAATGACAAAACCTCAATTGGACATCATTGTATGGGCTAAATCTAGTTTTAGTTTAATTGACATTGAGCTAAATTGCTGCAAGTGGACCTATGATAAAAAGTACCTAAATTTAAGCTAACATTTTAGTTGTTATAGATTATTACCTGTAATTCGGGGCTGCTGTCGAAGGCGTAAGCGGACGGTCGACCTTCCAGAGTGGAGAAGAGTACATTGCCTCCCGATAACGGGGAGATGTCGGAGTATTCGCTGGTGCACAGAGCCCTGGTCTCAGCGCCAAGCTCTGCCGCCTTCTGCTCTTGCACGCCGTAAGTGTCGCGACATGATGCGCTGCAGGAACCATATAATCATTAACATCAGCCTATTAGTGTCCCCACTGCTGGAGCACTTTTCCTTTGGATGGAATAGGGAAACTGGGCCGAGACCCACCACGCGGATTGGTGAGTGCTAACGACTACAGATGCAGCCGTAAGCACCCACCAATCAGTTAAACCGTGGGCTAAACCTGCCTTCCAAAGCACGAAGGATCTCGAGATTGCGAAAGTTGCGTGATTTTCACGATCGCAGACCGAATACGCTAACCACCTGCGCCATCGAGCTCCTCTGCTGTATGTTAGAAAAGTTGTGATTCACTTTTACTAGGGGATAATGACAGAGTAACGTTAATGAAATTAGCTATTTAGACTGTGCCAGTTAGATTATTAAAATAAAAATAACACGTATTTTTTTTCTCAATCAAACAAAAATTACAAAGATAAAGCGCATCCAATTTTAGGAGCTTCCAAGTAAAAATTGTACTAAGACGTGACGTCATGCGACATTTCAAATCATAATATCTCTTTAGTGTTTTGATGACTCGGTGGGTGTGACACGTAATAACGATTAGACGAATAATGTTTTAAAAAAAAACGACGGATTGCACTCCGGGAGTGCCGGCAGAAGTGAAAACTTGAATATTAACGTTGTGCATTTTTGATATTTTGGAATGGTTAGGGAATAATTTTGCACAAATTGCTTTAATTATCAGTATAAAAGTACTATCATATATGTGGCAGAAAACAATATTTATTTAATGCGCTATCGTACTCAAACATGACAATTTATATTACACAAAAGTTTATCTCTCAGAAAAATCAACTTACATGAATCACGTTTAAGCGCACTTAGCGACATCTATTGTAAAGAAATCAACTTACATGAATCACATTTAAGCGCACCTAGCGACATCTATTGTAAAAAAATGTATTTTCTTCGCAATAAAGCTGCCACGTGGACGTCCTAGATAGAGACTTATTATTATAATACGGTAAAATAAAATATTACTATGTTTCATCCAAAATATTGAAAGTCAACAACCTTTCCAATTTTATTGTGTGTCATGATGCGATCAGCCCACGTGTTTAACCTGACGCGAGTTTAATATTTTTTTGAGTAAGGTTCAAGGGCTCCACTGTCGCAAGCGTACAACATTTTTTACCCATACAAAAAAAAGTGTACAAGGCTGCTAAACGAGTTTTCAATTAAAAAAAATATTTTTCGCATTATAGGTGTGTTCTTCTGGTGAAGTAACTTCCACCTTACAGAGACCACAGTGAAGAACCTTTTAATGATTGAACCTGTTACCGACGTTTCCTATTTAAACCTTTTTAAACTTTTTATATACTCTTTTTTACATTTTGTTTTACTTTTAAATACGATTGTTTTTTTATATGACATTCATTGTAAAATTATATAGTGTACATAGCGAACCCGTGGTTTAATTGCTATCCGTTCGGTACAGAACCTTTGAGTAAGGTTTAAGGGCTCCACAGTCGCAATCTTTGGCATTAAGTAAAGACGAGTACAGCAACTCGCCTCTGTCTGGTACTGTACTGTACGTGTGTTCGTTTGTGTTTAAATACCTGAAATACTGATAAGGTTCCCAGTCCTGATCTTCGGAGGTCTTCTTGTAAATGGCAAAACTCTGCGGCCTTGGTGAGTAGAACACGATTTTCACGTAAGTAATATCATATGCTTTACCTGTTTGGACAAAATATCACTATTAATATGATTATATATTAATAATAATATATGAAAATTTAACAGTAAAATAAAAATAATATGTATGACCCATTGGTTTTTGTACCGCTCAATTATATGCATAGCGCACTTAATTATGTGGCACGAGCACTTATTTATATTTATAATAATCATAAATTCGTGTAGAATGTAGTGGCCCTCAAAAGATCACCTTCAGCAAAGCTTTTATTAGACCACCGCACTTTTTTTGCACTGCCAGAGAATAGTACGTACATTACTACAGCGGCCAGCAAAAGAGACATTGATGGACAAAAGTAAGTATCAACGCCTAGTTGTGGCCAAAGTTTGTATAATACTTTTCTTAAATAATGCGCGGAAATTCTAACTAAACAGTAGATAAGTAGAACTTTTCCGCGTAAAGTGTATGTAACCGGTGTTCTTCCCTACTGTTGAGCAACTTTCGAAAAGGTCGGCCACAAGTTGAGTGACTAAATTTGTTTTACTTCAAGCTATTCTGAGTTTCGAAAGGCTTGGCTACTGGTCTCGATTGTGACTCCAATAAAAACCCATCAATGCGCACGTGACTGCGTGGTATGTCATGGCCCGTTTTCATTATTCCATCTACAGGGAAGGTCTGTGTCCCAGCAGTGGGGACTTTAATTAGGCTGATGATGGTATAGGATATTTTGAACGATCCTTGGAAGAGATATGCCCTTTCTCGTTTAATGCAATCACAATAGGAATTATGAGTATTTTTTTTTTATCAAAAAATTGTACACGTAATTTTCTTTTTTCACATAATCACAACATTACAGAGATATATTGATTTGAAATGTCGCATTACGTCACGTCTTGGTACAAGTTTTACTTAGAATTATTGACCTCGTGAGGTTGACCTCCTACTCCCAAACTTTGACGCGCTTTAGCTTTGTAATTTTTTTGGTTGATTGACGAAAGAAAATATATGTGTCCATTATTTTTCGATAATGTAACAGACGGACTAGATATAATTTCGTTCATCACCCCCATGTTTTGTAAAATATTCATAATCGAGTATTTAGCAACGACATATTTTATGCAAGATTAACAGGCGCGTCATGTTCAATGCTCATATTGTGAGCTAAAAGATTCGTCATTATTACTTAGTCAGATATTAGATTATTGTCAAATAGTCATTTACTGATAATAGCATAAAAATTAAAGGGCGATTCAAATATTTTACGGAAATAAAATTTATTTTCATATCTATTAAGTTTACTTACCCAAATGCAGTGTGAGGTTGACTTGGTTGGGGTACTGAATACCCTCCTTCATGGTTTCCGACTGCCACCAAGTCTGGTTTTCGGTCTCATGGTGGAGATCCGTCAGGTAGTAGCTGGAGAACATGCCTGGTCTGCATTTGTCACAGGACCTGCCCGAAATCCGATTCGTTATTAGAAATGTTAGCATTCGATAGAAAATATTGAGACCGGTTTATTACTGATCAGAATAAGACTTTGAGAAAACTTATGAAATTTTGAATGATATTGTTGAAATTGAAAGATGATATTTAAATAATATAAAGCACATGGTATAATATTAGACCCATGTTGTTATCTAAGGGATTTCTTAGTAATGTAATGTGGTACATTAATTATTCGTGGACCCGACAATTTATATCGGAATGGCAAATCTCCCGTCTGATAAAAATATAAAATTTAAATAAAGTGGTAGGTTAATTTTTTTAATATAACTTTCTGCGCAAAATTCTTAATTTTTATCCCACAAGAACCTATTAAGTATTAGATAACTAAGTAATGAATATGTATAAAATCTTTTATTCTTTATATTGGGTCAGTATTTATTTTCGTTATCTAATTATAGCGTGACGAAGGAAAATACGGATTAACTTTTACAAATTTGCAATCTCTAATAAAAACGACTTAAGTAAAAAAAACTGTCAGCTCCACAATGATTTAGAGTAGTCTTTTTAGATATTTTTAGCAAAGTCAGAACACACGACTATTCATTAGTTTCAGTAGTTCATTTAATTCTAAGTTTGCGAATAGCTCAATGTAAATACCAAGTGGAAGTTCCCGCAGATGTCTGCATGCAGTACATCTTCACTCCGTTGTCTCCACAGGTGTTGGTTGCCTCCATTTGTACCATGAAGGCTGCGTTCTCGAACCCTGGTATACATCTCTGTCAAACATCATATCCGTTAACAATTGGATCATTTCTGTTGATGGCACAGCACCTGCTTGTGCCAAGTTTATTGAGTAATACTGAATAAGAGTGTAATAATGAACAATCCCTCAAACTTCGTGGTATAAGTTTGCACCTAATACTTAACTCAGACGGACAACTTTCTGAAGTCTGCGTGACGGCTGTTTGGCCGTCCGCAGCGTCCGCAGTCGGTAGCCACGAATTTGTATAGCAAAAAGGAGCAAATAACTCATACGGACGACTTCTCACATCGTCTTCCAACAACAGACGCAGAGTGTCGGCGGTATCAAACCTACAAAGTAGCTAAAGTTTGTATAAAAAACCTATTTTTCATGCAGATGGAAGTCGCGGGCACCCACTACTTGATAATATATAAAAAAACTTTTATTAACTGCACTAAAAAACAAAAAATAAACAAAATATACTCTCTGTTAACTTCATTAGGGCCTTAGAGTTAGCAAAGTTTATTAGTATAAGAGCTGGCAACGTTTTCGAGAATGAATTTTAGGTCGGCTAATTTTTGTATAATTCCCATTCTTATTGACAGTAGGTTGGGATGCGGTACGTCTGGCACCTGGAAGCGGTTGCGTTCAGTTGTGCGCATCCCACCTGTACAGGTAAAAATTGTACATTTTGAAATCATTTTAAGACATTTTTTTTGTTTTTATAAATTTCATATGTCTCGTTAGCAATATAAAACCATAATTGCCAGACACTTTTGTCGTTGCTAACATTGCCCCAGACACAATTTCAATAATTAAAAAATAATTATTTTTAAACAATTTTAGTATGTCTGTAATTTTGATATAATGTAGTTCAGCAATAAAGAAATATGATAAAAATTTACCAGACAGAAATTCTGTTGCTTAATGAGAATTTAAATTAATTTAAGTTTCGGGGAGAATAGGTGAGTTAGAAGAGTGCGGAAACTAATTCGTCGGTTGTGTGAGAGAGATAGCTGTGACAGAGAGCGGTAGAGGGAGAGAAGTATAGCCACAGCTGCTATTTTCAACATGGCGTCGCCTACACGAGTGTAAACTCTTGTATTTTGTTGTCTCGTGTTTTTTAATAGAAAAAAATAATTTTTTCGTCATGGCTAACGAAAAAGAAAAATGTGTTTTTTGCTCAGATCAAAGTGGTAAAATAATAATATTTAACGAAGAAAAATTGAAAAAGTGTGCAGAAATTTTAAATGCTCGTATTAAGTTCAACCTAAAATATAAAAATGTGAAGTTACCGGACAATGTGAATGCTACTGTTGGATACCATAGACATTGTTAAAGTACTTTTACATCATTGATGTCTAAATATCGTAATGAATGTGTATCTAACTTTTCATCGATTACTGATGTTCCTAGTACATCTTGTACTAGCTTATCACAGTCATGATAATGATGATATGAATATTGATGACAACAATAGCAGTGAAAAAGATGATCTTGACGCCGAAGAATTTGGATGTCAAGAAATTATTAATTAAAAATAATAATAATAATTACTCATCTTTAATGTATTTCATGTTTTTTAATTTGTATATCCTACCCAATTCTCAGCTATTTACAATAAAAAAAATATTATTTTTCTGATAATATGTTTTATCAATTTTTGCTATCTCATTTTAGTTTATTTATTATTCCATTCAATTAGTGTAGAAGTTCTAACCTATATACATAGAAATATTTTTTTATTTCGACATTTATCACATATCTAGTGGAAAACTTCCTCCGAAATTTTCACAAAATTATTCAAAATGCTTAAAAAAATCCTTTTTTACATATTCATTACGCTTTTTGAAAAACTCATAATTTATCAAAATAATTTATAAATCATTCCAAAATTTTCTGAAGAATATCATAATTTTTTACTGCTGGAGATTTCTCCGAAATTGGTGCAATCCATTGCTTGTCGTGAACTAAATAAAATTTTCGTCATAATAGTAATATTTTCAAGTAAAATCATTCAATTATGATTTGTCCAGTTTTGGAAATATGTGCACGATAAATAGTCAAGGAATATAAAGTTCAATAGAACTGCAGTAAGCACATCGAAGCTCGGAAAATACGGGAGAAAATCGTATTCCCATTTTTTCGGAGATAACCCATTTTTTCTCTCAATTGCCTCAAAAAGTGTAAAAAATCGGAAATATTCGGAAGATTCGGAGAAATTTCGGAGAAGAATTTCCACAAGGGATACGAATTCTACCCACTCTGAGCACCGCGCTCTTGTAATTAACCTATTCTCTCCGAAACTTAAATTGACTTGAATTCTTATTAAGTAACGGAATTTCTGTCTGGCAAATTTTTCTCATATTTTTTTATTGCTGAACTACATTATATCAAAGTTAAAGACATACTAAAATTGTTTAAAAATAAATATTTTTTAATTTTTGAAATTGTGTCTGGGGCAAGGTTAGCAAAGACAAAAATGTCTGGCAATTATAAATTTATATTGCTAACGAGACACATAAAATTTCTAAAAAAAAATTGTCTTAAAATGATTTCAAAATGCACAATTTTTACCTGTACAGGTGGGATGCGCGCAACTGAACGCAACGGCTTCCAGGTGCCAGACGTACCGCATCCCAACCCACTGTCAATAAGAATGGGAATTATACAAAAATTAGCCGACCTAAAATGAACTTTTTCGTGACGTCGCTAGCTCTCCTACTATATAGTTTATTTTAACATATTTATATATATGTATACTAGCGGACCCGACAGACGTTGTCCTGTCTACACGTCTTTGTGAATCTAAACCATTCTCAGATCCCCTTGAACACACACAAAAAATTTCATCAAAATCGGTCCAGTCGTTTAAGAGAAGTTCAGTGACATACACACTCACAGAAGAATTATATATATATATATATATATATAACTGAAAAAGCATGGGGCGCTATTCATTGCAATATTTATCAAATCAATGAATATTTTATTATTACGTGATTCTCAAGCATAATATTGTATGGTCATCTAATCTACATATAATTGCTAAGTTTCATGATGATACAAGAATTAGAAGTGCGTATAATTCAGATTCTTAGATTTTATTACATAAAAGTCGACCTAATAAAAGCGTGTTAAAAAATAGAGAGCACAAAGGGCCCATACCATGGGCGATCTATGAGATAAAGTTTTCTTAACTTTATCTCATAGATCTACTCTATTTTGATTTCTATTCATATTGTTTCATTACTTTTCCGTATTCAAAGGCGTTTTTAAATGTATTTTTTTTTTCATTTAATCATGTTCAATTATACCTATCCATTGATAACGCAACTAAATTGGCTTTGCATCTTTGAAAACTTAATTGACTTCACTGAGTACATACGTCAATTGTCATCAAGAAAAAAATTGCAGCTGCGGTTTATCATGTTTCTGTTTATCTGACTGTCTAGTAAGGAAGCTTTTGAACGAAATAAAAACGAAGCTCTCTTGTTTTTAAACAACAAGAGAGCTTCGTTTTTATTTCGTTCTTACTCTTGTTGTTTATAGTATTGTATAAATACAATACTATAAACCCCGAGTTAGTATAATAAAGATCCTGCTGAGCACTAAATTAATGAGTCACTCACTGTACCAGTATACAGCCTAGTAAATCCTTGACATGAAAGTGTTTTAATAGATGGAATGGATTCATTTTAAAATACGGAAACCGGTCGGCCCAGGTGGTGGTTTTGCCGCCAAAATAGGGACTCTATTAATAGGCGTGCGTCGTCGTCGGCCGTTCACACCGATACACCGATGAGCGTACAAACATCACTACTTTAGTCATACTGTAATAGTTACGTCAGCATTAGGGTGGTTACAACAGTGCTGATTCGATTTTTTTTTCTCATTAAAGATTTTGTCTTAAAGCTTGTGAGGGACAGTGTAAAAAAGGAATATTTTTGTATTATAATAATTATATCCAGCCATTTGACGTCTTGTGACAGCTGCTTGAGATTATATTGGCATTGAAACTAACCTCTCGTTAAAACCAAGGTATAAACATGTATTTAACAAATTTTATCCAGTGTCTTCATTTTTTGTTCACACTCAATACATGTATACCTACTGGTAGTACAAGTTTGATTCAAGTAAACAAAACTTCTTGGATGACAAAATATGTGATGTAAATAAAGTGATTTATACTTATACTAGTAAAATACTAGTTGTCTATGCAGTGTAAACGTTTTTTTTTAAACTGTGACAACAAGTAATATACATGTTTTGTGTAAAAATAATAGGTTATATAATCACGTCTAGACAGACCACAGACAAATAATAAAAGGGCATATAATCGGTATTCCTTATGTTACACTGTGCCCTTATTACACTGTCCCGCACTTAACCCTACTTTTCAACTATCGCAACTTTTTAAATTGGAGTAATTGCCAATAATGAAACACCTTCGCTTGAGAAACTAAGCTTTTATTCTAATAAGTTAACTAAGCAATTGTGTATTACTTTGTTCTCACTAGTTCGATTAATTATTTCAATCAAACTTCTTATGAAGTGCCAATGTTAATGGTGTTAAACACTATTAAATTAACCTACTTACTGCGATTTTTAAAAAGTAAGTATCGCTTTGTCACACTCTTGTGGCTTAAATACAAAATAACATTAATAACGGAGGATTAATTAATTAACGGAATAGAATATCAGGTTTGGATAATTGATACTGTTACTTACAGTACCTTTTATAACAATATTATTATTTAATGGCAATTTGTGACTAGAACCATGTTTTTATTAAGTTTTTATTAAAAATTAATACAGAGTATATGATACATAATCGATAAAAAAATATGCCTTGTGGAAATTGAATGTGACAATTCCACATTGGCACATAAAAAGTCACGTGAACGCGGTGACCCTTAGACGACAATTATTGGAACTGAATCACTGATATTTATAAGAATTGAAACAATTGGTTTACAATTTTTAATATGCCTACCTTATTATTCTTTATCACTTTTTGGATTTGTATTAACA